GTAGGCATCCGTGGGCCGCTTAGGCTTGTGGCTTGATGTGAAGATCACCGGGTGGCGAACAAGGCTTCCGGAAGTTTTCTGGTATAGGCTACAGGATCACCAGGTCTGCGTAGGATGTCTCAGACGTGCGCTCTCTGCGCATGTATACCTGTATACTGGATCTGAACAAGACTAAGATCGGGCCTGCCGTTTTGTTGAAACAAAAGTATAAGGCGACATCATTACCAGTCCGCCCGACCCCTGTATCATCAACGTTTAGCGGGGCTAGCATTGCTGCCCGGAAGGGTGGCACGAATGTTCACAGCAGTAAAGCGGGCAGTGGCAACGATAGCTGGGCTAGGACAATGTACGTGGCACACCTTCTAAAAATCCTTGCAAGACTGCTTACTATGGCGCATGGTGTTGAAATTTAGTTTGTTGAAACTATCGCCGAAACACGCAGATCTTCAGTTACGCGTGCAGGTGCACAGTGGATAAATAAATAAATGCATATATATATATATATGTATATATACACATATACATATGTAACTGGGTATACAGATATATAGACAAGATAGATAGACGGATAGGATACGAAGCTAAGGGTCTCTGTTTACCTCTGTAGGCTCAAACCGTATGGCCAATGGCATGCCGTAGCCCCACAAACCAGCCTCGGGGTCGTAAAACTCCCTGCGCGGAGGCATTTCGACAAAGGCCCGAACCTCAAAGCTTGCTCAGCAAGGATAGCAAGAGTGGGGTTGAAGCGTATTGTCACAAGGATGGCACCGGAAGGACATCTGGATGAGTTTGCGGCAAGTAGGTTGTGCAGGAGCAATGGCAATGGCAAGGCTTGCACCCCAGAGAGTCTAGAAGGAGGCAGGCTTCATGCTCCATTGAGCTGGCTCAAGGGTAGAAGCGGTAGAGCCATAAGAAATCACTGCCGTCCTGTTCGCCTCCTTTTGCCTAAGCCTCAACCTGGCTGATCAAGACGTCTGGTAACACGTCAAACCTTTCAGGACCACCTGACACCAGGCAGACAAGGCACCTCCAGCTGATGTTTGTTGAAATCGAAGACCAAGTGGTTCATCGGCCGGGACTGAAAGCTGCTTTAACAGAAGAGCTTCGAGGCTTCGTCATGGACTGCCGAGCCTAGGGTGTGAACATGACCGTTGGGTTTGGAGCATGCAGCTATGTCGCGCTGTTCGTGGTCTTATCGGTTGCCTGTAGCACCCCCGCACCACCACCGCGAAGTGCTGTCGTTCCACACTTGACGTCCCACGACTACATCAGCAACCAACAACAACCACAACCACAGCCACAGCTAGCACCAGCACCAGCACCACCCGTCACCACCACCACGACGACAACGACGACTTCTACTACTACAACTACAACAACAACTACTACTACTACTACTACTACTACTCCTGCTGCTGCTGCTACTACGAGTACTGCGACAACTCCGACTACTGCGCTGGGACTACTACGACCACGACGACGACGACGACGACGACTACTACTACTACTACTACTGCTGCTGCTTACTGCTTTTTGCTTTCTGCTTACTGCTTACTGCTTGCTGCTTACTGCTACTGCTTACTGCTACTGCTGGTGCCACTGCCACTTCTGTTGCTGCTGCTAAGCCGATACTACTTACCACGTACTAGGTACTACTAGAAGGACGACGACGACTGCTAGCACACCTGCTGCTACGTACTACCTGCTATGCACTAACTACCTACGAATTACCTACGACTACCGACTACCGACGACCGACCACGTTTTTGCTGTTGTTGTTGTTGCCGTGGTCGTCTCATACGGAGAAACCCGACACACCTCGACCGCAATGTTTTCCTCCCTGGGCTCGTAGTCGCCCTGGTAGTCCTCCGGTGTTACAAAGCAGGCCGGGATGGAGCGTCGAAGCTAAGGCAACTATCCGGCGAAAGGACACTGCATCATCGTCCGAACAGGAACAACATGCCGCACTTGAAACGGGCGGCAAAAGCCCAAAGCTGTCAACGATTGGGTTGGGCTCCGAATGTGCAGAGTGGCCCACATGGGACGTTGAATCGGTACAGACAGAACACTCGCCATGTACCGTTGAAACGCAAGCAAAAGGCCGGTAAGGGTAACTCAAACCATGTTCCCCCTGACACCAATAAATTCGTATGCGGTCCATGGAAATGTACGTGTTGCCAGCTGCAGCCGCGATGAGGTCCAAGCCAGGGATCCCTGCCTGAATTCGGGATGCAGCTGCGTCTTGACATGCTCAGCCCTAGACATCTGCAGCATGCGCATGTGTGTGAATGGGGGCCCAATATCTCTCTGATGTTTGGTCTCGAAGATGCCCTCCAACAGAAAGCCCTCGACCTGAACAGTGCCTTCGACCTTGGAGGCTCACTACCGACATCTCAAGGCCTTTAGGATTTCGAGGTGCGCACCGAGAATCCGGGATGTCAACACAACTCCTCAAGGTCGGCCCTCAGCCCCCTTCTCGGCTTCTGGACGGGAGCCCCGAACCGCTTTTGTGAAGCCCGGAGCCCCCGGGCATAAGCCCTTCAAAAGCCTGCTTCGCAAGAAGATTGGAGAGGTAGTTCTGCCAATCCTGGTGGCTTGGCTTGGTAAGATCCTACAATAGGGGCCTTATATAATGAGTATGATTAGACTATAGTTTTGGGACCCATTATACTGCAATTGAAATCAGGAACCGCAAAATAATTGGTATTGGTAAATAAATGTAAATAACTACTTAGGCCCCTACAGTACTGGTAACTGTCTAGGCCCCTATAATACTTTAGGCATCGAGCCTTGAGCTGAAAAGGCTAAAATGGAGACAAACAGTGGCCCAGGTTTCTGATTCGGTCACAGCCGGGTGAGGCCTCTCTGGTCCTTGTGTTGTCTGCAATCTGCATGGTGGGCCACAGGCCAAACAGCGGCTTCACAGAATCTCGGGGCCTCAAAAGCCCATATAAACACAATGGATGAAACATCCTGACCTCTGTTGGCGTGCAGTTTTGAAGCTAAGCTGGTGACTAGCGGGAAACTTCTCCCACCCTGGCGTAGATACTCGGCAAACATGTGCATTTAGCGCCTGCAGCACTGCAACACTCCAAGCTGGTAGCACTCAATATGGGAGTTTCCGAAAACAAGGGGTACCTTATTTTGGGGGTCCTTATAATAAGGATCCTAGTATTTAAGGTACTATATTACGCTCTCGCAACTCGGACTTGCCAGAGGGTCCCCTATTTTCGGAAACTCCCATATCACAGGCGGCGCCCTGCCAGTCCGGCGTGTGCTCGGGCAACTCCTCAAGCTCTGCTGCTCGGACGTGGCCGGTAAACGCCTCCTGGAAATTTCGGCTCAGGGTTTGGACTCGCAGTTCGAACTACGCGCTCAGGGCTATTACAGACACTCTTTTTCAGAAGCGGGCCCAACCACCATCGACACTAAGTAAGGCAAACTACTTCGCAGGAGACTCTGGCAGGGTGCCCAGACAAGCCCCGAAAAACCCAACCCCCAACCCAAACTGTAATGCCACGGGCCTAGAGGGCTCCATAAGACCTAGGGCTGTCTGAGCTTTACACCAGTTGCCGAGTTCTCTGGCCCAGGACAAGTGTACATTTGCATGATGGCAGCCAAAAATTCTCCGAACACTAGAGTAAAAGGGAGCCTACCCAGCCCCTTAAGCAAACTTTCCCAGCTCAGAACGTTCTGTTCTGACTAGGACCAAAGCTAGGAGCAACGTCAAAGCAGTTAGGGGCGTGGAGTGTGTTCTAGATTCGTTTCTACTTACCATAAAATACTGGCTTTAACAACTAGTAACTAGCATAAGACTTTGTGGGTAAAATCTACCACTCATAGCTACATTCCCGATCACAGACCCACCGGAAGGGAGTCTGTGAGTTGTTCTAGATAGAGCTTTTTGCAGGAATTCATCTTTGCTAAACATGATCCCTAAACCCGGCAATGCAAACCTCAATGTGCAATCTGACGAAAGCAGATGGGAGCCGATGCCTCGATCCAACGGTGAAGGTGAAAGCTGGAGTCTTTTCGGGAGCTTCACCTTCCTGAACTTAAACCTTTAACGTTGAACCCTGAAGACTGCATCTTAAACCCCAGTGGATGCATCATCTGTCGTCCTTGTAATCCTTGAGGACCTTCTTGTTGAAATCCTCCAGCTGATACTCCTCTTCCTGTAGTCTGCCAGGTGTGGTTCTGAGCTACAAACACACCCTGCAAGCCCAATACCTCCGAATTGCGCAATATACCGCACTTGGATACGAAGCCCCACGTACAAGTACATGGTATGTTCCTTTTTGCCACTGGGGCTAGCCAAATCCTTGCATCGCTGCGGTAAGTTCCTGAACCCAAAACCCTTGATGGAGGATATTGGGCTCTGGTACTTCCTAGCATTAGGCACATCCGGCAGGAGGGGAAGAGCAACATGAGAAGCTTACTGCACATGAGGGCTGAAACTTGCACTTCGGGATTCGATGACGGGCCACAGTCTGTCTGGACGAAGGGTGCCGGAAGTCAATCGCAACTGTAAGGTACGACTGACTACCGGATTCGCACAGCAGCAATCGCAAGGATGATGCGTCTGGTGATACTGTGCTGATTGCTCTGATAGGAGCACCGGAGCACCTAAGCTTCGTCGTCTCAGATGAAACCAACCGTGCGGCAAACAAAAGAGCTATCACGGCTCATGAGCATGCTCGGCTAGACTCATGCGCTGAAATTAAACAGCTCCTAGGCTTTGCAAGCCCAAGCGCGAAAGACTAAGAGCACACTTCTACATCCAACTCCTGAACAGCGAACCTTACTCCAAGGGCTTTGGGTTCAAGTCTCCCGACATTCTGCATAGCCTACGATCCCCTTCCTCCCAGCCTTTTCGTCAAGACTGCCAGTGGATCTTCTAGGCTTATGCTTATATCGCCTCTAGTTTCAGCTCTCATGAGTTTTGTGGAGCGTTGCAAGGGGCTGGCAAAAACAGGAGAAAAGATTCCAGGCGGAGAATACTAGAAGCACATAGACAACTGATGCGTGCGAACCGCAACAGTTGGATTCCCCTCGGCCTGAAAGTCATCGCTCGCCTCGCGCAAATTTGCATCAGAAGTGGAGTCGTCACCGACATAGGCCTGGGCTGCTCTTGGAGATCCTTTGAAAATGTCTACTTTCCATAACTCTTCAGGCCGCGAGGCCTCGCTTTTGAAGCCGGCCAAAAGGTCCTGGCTTTCGACGCCGAAACAACATCTACCACCCCTACAGCCCACTTCCACCTACATACTGGGCTCCTGCGTTATGGATACCACCAGTTGTGCAAGTTGTACCTTGTTGATCTGGGTTCAAGGAGCACCGGGGTCCAGTCTTCATGTGCCGACCGCCCCCAGTTGATTCGGGAGCCTGAGGGATTTGCTTGTGATTCTCATCTCTGTTCCTCCTTGCTGCAGGCGTTGTTTTTCCATTGCGCTCTCCTTCCCTAGCTCTCTCTCTCACGCCTTGGGCCCAGGCCGTAGGTTCGCGCGTTTTGGGCTCTGTCAGGGGATGTGAAAGCAGGTGGATTGGGCCGCAGCCTTTGTTTTGTTTCGTTCTCGATTGACTTCTTTCTCGCTTGCTTGCTTGCACAGCGTGTGGAAGTAGACTTGAGCCCTAAACCTTGAACCCGACACCCGAAACTTCCGGGTCCTGCCCGACATGGGGGCAGCCGTGCTGCAAGGCCATGTGTGTTCTGTCCACTGCAGCCTCAGGGTAAGGATTTTTTCGACCCTTGATGTCGTGCCTTTGGGCCTTCGAACCGCATATCGAAATTGAGCTCTCCGAAGGATTACATAGAGCGGTCGAAACACTAGCGGGTAAAATACTGAAGGGAAGCTGAAGCATCCCTGGTATAGACCTACATATAAGCAGTTGCCTTTAAACCCTGCGAAACCCTGAAGAGAATGTGGGCTTCAGCTGAGGGTCTTGAGCCAAACAACTCAAAGTAGAAACCCGTGATATAGGCGCATTAATAATTAGAATAGGGTTTTGGGGCCCACTGTACTGTATTTTAAATAAGGAACCTCCACAATAGTATTGGCAATTATTTCGGCCCCTATAGCGGCTTTTGGAGGCTCTCCTGTGATGCTACCCGCATAAAACACTTGTAGAACCACCAGTAAGACCAATAAGCCTAAAGGAAAATCCCTCAAGCACCCAGCCAGCCTGCCTCCAAGTCCAACTCGGGGGTGCCGTGGCGCGCTGCCTGGGGTTTAGGTTTAAGAGGTCTTTCGGTTCATCCTTCAACCCGACATGAACGTAAGACTGTGAAGAATCCTTTTGGGCTTTGGGCATGACAAACATGATTCCTCAGGAACAACTAGGCTCAGAGGCAGGGGCAGGGTTATCTGGGATTTGAGCGATTTCGACTGTGGGACGTGCATCTGGCTTCCCAATATCGATGCTTCTGCAGGCTGGTTCCACGGTTCAGGTTCAGGATGCCGGGTGCTATCTCAGTGGCTAAAGCCATTCAAACCATGTTCGACTCCAAGGCCCTTGATCCTTGTAACATGTCCCAGTAGCCACGTTGTAGACGGCCCCGAAGCACGGCCGGGCATCGAAAGCAGCCTGCAGCAAATCCGGAAGAGGAACAGCCGCCACCTGTTTAGGGTCCTGGGGTCAGGGTTTAGGTGCCTACCGTTCTTTTTCCCTCTCGCATGTGCTGGAAGTCAATGCCCGCTCGCGTGCCTACCGTTTAGGGTTCGGGGTTTAGGGATATGTGGTGCTTTTGGGTGGGTCGTGAAGTCGTTTTGTTTCTTTCGCCTCAGCCGAATGCCTGCAGCCTTATTCCATGGTGTTCATGATCAACATTTCCGAGTATCAACGAAGCCATGGAGTGAGGAACCGCTACAGTGAGATTGCAGGGATAGGGGGCTGTAAGTCGTGGACCTGTATAGCCGCAATGTGAAGGCCTGACTAGTGTGGGGTCCCCCAGTCATGCAAAAGTTTGAAGATTTTCCTACTTGTGGCCGCCAGATTTTTTGGGGGCCTCCCAACACTACGAAGGCTGGAAGGGCCCAATTGCAAGGCTTTTGGGTGAGGCCCGGCTATCTGGACGGGCCTGAGGTAGCATAGGCTTCCTCCGCCGGCTGGGCCCGAAACCAAACAGCTGAGTCTCCCTTTTTGTTTGGGAAACGGTGGGCGATCCCTACACTAATCAGGCCCTCACACTAAGCTCTGACCTCTAAACCCCTCAACCCAATCCTGGATAGCAAAGCTCGAGCTACCTCTGTCAGGCATCAGAGAAACAGCATGTCAAGCACGAAGAACAACATTGCAGGAACGCGTGGACGCGGAATGATTGATTCGGGAACACCTTTGCAGTCATAGGGCCATATGGGCATAGCTTTATGCGTTGCAACTGAGCAACACAGGCTCACAGCAGCCTGTACACATTCCATTGCCACGTTGTCAGGGGAATTGCAGTGGCAGTGCTTGTATTTCTGAAGCCTCCTTAACACTCGGCCCAACTAAATTCGTGCCGCTGCCTGCTGAGTCTTCGGATCGAAATCGACAGTGTAAATGCCACCCTGCTTCGGCCCGTAGGCGTGGTGCCCCAGCAAATGCAGAGCGTACATGGCCGAAGCCTGGGCTGCTCTTGGCAAGTTGTGTACTGTATATAGTATACCAAAGGAAAGCATGATTCGATAAGAACAGTTTCACTAACATCAGCACTGATAACTGCAGCAAAACATGAATGACAGTCGTAGTGACGAATTCTCAACATTGCCACATGTTCTACAAAGAGCACTTGCAAGTGCATTCAAGAAACACGGAGGTGCTGCGCTGTGGTCGGGCGAGACGGCAATCTGCTTTCCGCATGAGTTGACTTCTTGGATAGCCGGAAAGCTGCAACTGGACCCTTTCCTTGCTTCCCCAAGTTTTACCCAACGACATGTATTAAAGCTTTACCTTTCAGAATACTATGAACTCAGGAGTCCGCAAAATCTCCAAAGTGGAGCACCATGTTTCCGAAAACCAGCTTGGGCAAAGTAAACTCTGTGTGCTGCTCCAACAACGCGTTGGTGGGCACGGGTCCAGGGTTCTCCCAAAGACGGCTCTCTGTGCTCGTGCTTCGCTGTGCCTGACGGATCAGGGGGCATAGTTTAAGCAAGGCTAGAAGTAGGGGAGCTGTTGCTATCCTTATACGAAGCGCAAGTATAAAGTGCCCACCAAACACCTCAACGTTTGTTTGTGCTATCCTTACTTCGGCTAACCTTTCCAATAGTTACTGAGTGCTATGCGCCCGTGATCCTCCGATTGCCTCCAGCGAGGCCTGTGCGTCAGCTCTAGGATAGAAGTACCGATAAGACAGAGCCCGCTCGTAGAGATCGTTGCTGGGCTCCTCCTTCCTAAGTGGCTTACAGCGGTTAGGGTCTAGCGCCTTTTAGGTGTGCCTCGGAAGCTGATCACGCAGACGGAGGATCAAGTAAGGTTTGCAATCGGTTGGTTTTGAAACTTGCTCGACAAATTTTAATGAAGGAACCGTCTGAAACAACCAACAAAGCTATCAATAAAAACATGGAGGATAAGAAGTGACAAGGCAAACGTGTAAGAACCAAACTGCTTTCCAACAGCTCCAAGCCTCAAGTCCCGGTGCTGCGCCTCCCTGAACCATTGCAGTGCAGCAGCATGGTCCTTCTTTAAGCTAATGCAAGGAAGCCCTCTGAATGGAACCCGATAGAAACTTATAAACCCCGAATTAAACCCTTATAGAACGCTTGCAAGAACCTCGTAGAACCCTATAGACCGCAATTAGAAAACAACAAGAAAACCTTACGGGACCCTGCAAGAATGGCACGAAGTGGTCCTTCCGCTCGGCCTCTGTGAGCCTTAGGAGCTCTGCAGGGCTTCGGCAGATACTTGACAAGGTCACTTTAGGTCCAGAAGAATCGACAGGGGGGGGGGAAGCTGCTCGGAGATGTTTGAGTCTGATTCACTGGGCAGGTGCCGCGAAGGTAGGGCTTGCATGGTTGGATGCCACAAAGAGCCAGGCCAAGGTGAGCAAAACTCTAGTTTCGCTAAGTCCACGGATGAAGCGCCGAAAACCTAAACCGAATCGGCGACCAAGGGGCAACACCGTAGGAATGGGGAGCCTTCTTCTTACAAGCACGTCGGTTCGAAGAAGGATCTTTCGCTCCAAGCCCTCTGTCGGGATGCCTTCATGGAGCCTTAGAGTTCAACAGGGCGAGGCATACATTATGGTAGCGAGACCTGACTCAAATGTTCAATCTCAATGTCTTAGTCTGCCTGCAGTCAATGAGCCCATTCATGGGCCTTGAAACGATTTTAGGTATTGGTCTCTGGCTCTGAAATGCTCTGGATGTAAAGTTGACGTGCTTCGGAATTCAGCTGCCTCTTCTTCAGCATGCTGAACCCGAAATTATGAGTTTTAAGGCTCGAATATAGGATTCAATCAATATTCCTAGGGTGGCTTGGCAGGTCTTCTATGCAACTATGTCTTTAGGGAAAGTATTCCAGAGAGCATCCGCGCAGCAGGCTCTGACCAAAGAGCAAGCCACGACCAGCTGAGAGACGAACATCCAGTGCCTCGAAGCCGGCAGCCAATCCACCTCTGGCCTCGATCTCTTCGTTCAGGGTCATTCCTCGAAAATCCAAAGGCTTCACAGGGTGGAAGAACCGCGTCCTTCCCACGGAGTCCAAGGGAATGAGCAGCGTGCACAAGCTCCTCAGGTTGGAATGTTGGGCGAAGGGCGCATCGCGGTGCGGCTTCAGGAACCCCCCTGGCCCATAGGAATTCACACGAAAACAGTCGTTCAGGCCCTCGAGCTCCCAGTCACCAAAGGCACAGCCGAAGCCAAGGGGTCTCAGGCTCTGGCCTTCGAGTGCCTCGCGCACATAGGGCTCTGCTCGTTCCCAGAGCTTCCTTGCCAACGTCTCGTCCCGCACGACGACGCGCTGGTAGCGGCGGGTGCCCCTGAAGCAGGCCACATCCATGGGTGCCATTGCCAGCTTCTCGGAAGACCTGACGATTTTCCTGCACTCGTTTTGAGTGAAGAGCTGTGGCAGCTTAGCAAGGGAGTCACAGAGGAAGTCTCCAGTCCCTGCGTGTAGCGTCTCGACAGATTGGCCGATACTCCAATCTGCAAGGTCTTCTTCACAGAACTCCTCCTTGGGAAGCAAGAAGTCCTCTTGACACTGATCAATGAGGCACAACGCAGCATTCGATTCTAAGAACTCGGACCGCCGGCTCTGTAATGCAGGCCTCCCTTTGCACATCAAGTCCAGCTTCTGTGTGAATGGTACGTCCAATGTGTAACCCGGCTGGATGCCCAAGTCCGCCAAGCTTGTCTCGGCATCGCCGTCCCAGTCCAACTGTCTCCCACTCTGAGTTTCGAACGCAGGTCTTGTGGCAGCTGGGAGTTGAAGCCTGTCAGCCACTAATACGCCGAAGGCCTGCAGCGTGCACGCGGGATATGCCTCGATGTCCACAGGTCCACCCTCCCAGTCCACAGCCACCACCCAGGACTTGCGCAGGAGCTGCAGCTCCAAGGTTGTTGCATCCTCCGACTCTAGGAATTCGCTCAAGGGCTCAGTGCTTTCTAAGACTCTCGGGCCCTGCAAGAAGGTTTGCGAGTGCAGCTTGGCTCCCAGCTGAGTTGCCACCTTCACATTGAGCTCATGCACTGTCCAATCACGGCCTGCTGGGATGATGCAGAGCTCTTGGCCGGTAGCCACACTGCACACATGGACGGCCAACATGCCGGGTAAGGGAGGACCTTGATGTCCTTAGGAACGCAGTAAACCTCAAAACGCTGAGGCTGTCGGGGCTGGGGTTCGAGCCTAAACTGGGCAAAATGCGACTGAGACCCCGCAAAACCTCCGTTGGAGGCTTCGCGGCTTCTCGGATTCGACCGCTTCGGGTTTGGTGAGTTTCGTGCTTTTTCGCTGAGGAGGGGAGCTTGGCGTGCAAGGAACGGAAAGACGCGAGGAAGTCTGCAGGGTTAAAGTAAAAGGATGGGATTGCACTCATGTTGGCGTTGAGGATATCTATTACTAGTTTGAGGGGTTGCGGTTTTGAGTTCTGTGAGGTGCGGTGTTGAAGTTAAGGGAAGTTCCTTGCCACCTGCATTGCGAGCCAGAGCTTGGCCCTTCTAAACGACATTCAATCCCAGATGAGCCTTGGACCCTACTCACCTACTCACTCTCGCCACGGCCCGGAGCAATCTCGAAGCTCCGACTAAGCCTCGGAAATCCTGAATCTGCAGACTCGATCATGGAAACCCTCTGCAAAGAAGTCCACGGGCGGCTGTGTTGACAGCACTCCTTCAGAGTATCCTACATTTCACGCGCGAAAATCCTAAACCAGTAAGCCGATGACATTTCTTGAGCCCAAGCTCAAGTTCTGCGTCATTGGCCCGACATTAAAACAGTGAGCTCTACTGGAAAAATGCTTTTCACAATGTGAAGGGTCATGGGGCTAGGGATCTTTGGGCTTAGGCATATCGAATTTAGGATGAATGTTGGATTAGGTATTGGCTGAAGAAGACTGCATCTTCTGCAGCACAGCAAACACGGGATGAAACCATGCGCGGCCGCCGCCGTGCAACAAGGTGAACCATAACAAAGTGTATCAACAACACCTGCACCGGCGCAAATTCTGTCTAAATTGGAAGCCTACAAGCAGGAGCCACATCGTGCTCAAGCCGGGCGAAAAGTCCACTCCCGAACGGCGTGCAGCTTGATAGGGGAGCAGCCAAGCCATGTAAATGAGTGTCCAGACCACAAAACACACAACGAAAGCGACAAGTGTTACCTTGACAAGCGATCTCTGCTTCAGCCACGGGATCACCCACCTGCAAATCCGCAGCATCACTAAGCCCAGCAGTAGTACGAAAGAGATCCGCGCAGCGATCCGCAGTACTTGCACGAAACATCTCCAAAATATGAGGGCGGGACCGATGCCCTCCGGCCCCCTCAAACACATGTCCCTCATCCATGTCACCTGATTGCACATCCAGGGAGCTGTCATCCCAACCGTGATATAGGTTATGGTTCGTACAGGCAGCATTGCTTGCTCAACACCGTCGAAAGCTCCGGTTCGCAATGTGGTTCGAACTGCTGAATTGAACCTGTCGAGATGTCCCTCGGGCACCGGGTGGTTTTCTGTGCTCTCTCGCGAATACCACGCTTTGACTGTGTCAAACACGAGTTCCCGGTCACACTCCAAAGCAGCACCAGTCTCTGGATGCAAATGATTGGAAGAACAGCAAAAACACTGGGAGTGCTGAATGCTGAACTCCAACAGAAAGGCGGGAAGGTCTTCAAGATCTTTGTACACTTGCAAAACCACATAGATCATGCTGGGGAGCCCGGTCGCACACAACAAGCACCAAAGTGACAGCTGAAGAGCCAGAATTGCTGGTGCTTGATCAATGAGCGGTTGCAAGTGTGAAACCATCAAGTTGGTTAGGATGACAAAGGCACCTTCCAGCACAGCATAGGAAATCAGCACCAGCGACAGCTCCACGGGAAAAGTTGTCAAAGGTTTGTTGGCTTGATCTGGATTTCGGAGGTATGTAGCTAGCTCATAACAACACCACAATCGACGGAAGTAGCGTGCCGACCACAAAATCGTTAAGTGCTCCGATCTGTCCGAAAATGCCGCCAAGCCAAGAATGCCTTGCTGTTTAAGGTCGGCGTCGTGATGTGCAAGGCATAACTTATCGAGAAAAACGACGAGAGGTCTCCTTGCCATGCTCCGCATCGGCTGCCAGAAGTAGAAGAAAACGACAAAAGCCACATATGTTAAGTTACGAGTACTGCTTAAGTACAATTGCCCTTCAGTCTGATCCCTGTCAATGTGCGTGCCTTCACGTAGTAAGCCAATATAGTCAGACCGCATGTCAGGGTTGCCAGCATAGCCGCTCGAGAATTGAAAAGGAGTAGCATGGCAAAAAGCTTCTTCGATCCCGAAGTTCTCCAATCGTGGCTGAGAAAATGGTGGTACTTTCTGACTTGGAAACTTCGGCCATAGTCTTTCTGCTGTGTGTCTAGCATTGCACTTGCTGGCTGCATGGCCCAATGCTTTCCACAGCCGGTGAGGCATTCACTCAAAGTCACACCTCTGAGCAGATCTTCGTCGACTTCAGTTACGAGTTGCCTGACAGACACCTCGCTTAGCCAGTGTTGTGGAACTGGGTCGCTCTCATGCAACTTGCCCAACCTGGTTGGGAGAGGCCCTTCCTCAGGGACAGACCATGTCTCCGAATCTTCCATGGCTTGGTGAAACAGCAAAAATTGGCAGACCTGGTGGTCCTGAACAGGCGCTCAGCTGTAAAGCTCAAACCTTCGTTCAATGATTTTAGAATGATCACCTCCAAAAACCTTCCTGCGGTGAGCTGCCGTTGGTAATCACTGGTCAACCCGATTGAAAGCCGGAATGTTGCGCCGAGTGGGGTGTTGCCCGCACGACGCCGCGCCGCAAACCTTCTGTACGCCTATGCAACTCTACTAGGGCCTTCAGAACCCCCACGAACTCTGTAGGTCCTGCTCACACAGGAGCGACGGGCCAAGCAGGCTGCTAAGCAAAAAGAGAGCGACAACAAGAAGCAGGCAAAGCAAGGCTAAGGGGTACAGTAAAGCCAGCAAAGGTAACAGTTGTGCTTGTGATATGTGCAGACATTGCCTCCAAAACTACTAATAATAACTAATGACTCGTCATAACGACAAAGGCATAATAAACAGCAGCAAGTTTGATAGAAAGACTAGGGCAAACATAACAAGAGGAATGCCAGTAGCTTCACGGAAAGGTGTTAAGGCAAAGGCTGAATCTCAAACTATGGACTCGTTTGCGTGCTTGTCCTAGAGGTGTCTTTTGGGCATCTTACCTTTTCCATGCATCTTGGAGGTGGTGTCGGCGGTGGTGGCGGCGTGGGTGGTGGTAGTGGTGGTGGTGGTGGTGGTGGTGGTGGTGGTGGTGGTGGTGGTGGTGGTGGTGGTGGTGGTGGTGGTGGTGGTGGTGCTGGTGCTGGTGTTACTGCATTAGCAGTATGTGAAGGGCACAGATGCTGACGATACTGTTGAGCGTGCTTGATTTAAGAGGTTCCGATGTTGCCGTTTTGGTGGCACTGGTGGTGGGCGGGTTGTGGTTGTGGTCGTGAAAGAGGCCACGCAAATCGCTTGAGTAGACATCCCACTGCCAAGCATGATTTGCCTTTTTGCGCTCACATCAGCCAAGCAGCGCAGCACACCTACCTGTTCCATATCTGTTTGGTTTAAGTTTATTGCAGGAACCTGATTAAGAAACCCGGGGCCTACTACCCCAAAGTAGGAGAATTCATGTAAGGAACCCTAAAAAGGACCCAGGGTTCCTTAATCAGGTTCCTACATTAGGGTTTTGGACCCAGGAACGCGGAAACCAGAGCTGTCTGCAAGCAAGACGAAGCGCGAGTCAGAGATGTCTTGCCGCGATCCGACATGGATGTGGCAAGCCAAATTTCCTGTTAGTATACCATATTCTACTAGAGGAAAATAATTCTATAGTAATTTCATTATACCGTTATACTATAGTATACTGTACGATAGTATAATATACGATAGTCTACTACAATACCAGCAGTAACCTCAAGATCTTCGGCGGCAGTCTGACGCTAATCTGCTGCGGGCTGCGCGAGAGACGGTGTCGGCCCTGCGGCCCTCCAAGATAGTACTGCTGATGATATAAATCCTGCACTACCTTAATGACCCTAAACTATGGGAATTATGGTATTCTCCTTAGTATGGGTAACCCTAAACCTGAAAGTTCCCTAAACCCTAAACCCGTGAGTTCCTGATGATTTCTGAAGTTTTCTTCTGACTGCTTTCTTCCCCGCCTCCCCCGCTTGCCCCCGCCCCTGCCCGTGGCAAGATCACCCGGGCCCGACCCTAGAAAGCCCCTATATCTTTATGTAACCTTCCCTAGCAACCCTAAACCACCCTACATCCTCGGGACTCCCTCATTCTGACGGCTTGTGTTATGGGAAGAATTGGTTTTCATAAGACCCCAAGCCGTGAGCCCTCTACCTTGTCCCCAAACTTACGAGGTTTGTGACCAAACTTGTGCCGTGGGGGTTCTTCAGGCTAAGGGTCCTCGATATATATATATATATATATATATATATATATATATATAGGCCTTACTGCAAAGGCTTTGGGATCGCGCCTTTGCAGAACTACCAACTACCCCTTCTCTTTCGACACCCTTCTTGCTGCATTTGGAGCTTCCGGTTCCAGTCATCCCAAACCCACAACTTTACAGTGGAACCTCTGGGTTCGTAGCAGGCCTGCCAATGGTCAGGGTTTAGGGTTCATTGGGCTTTAAACTTCTTTGGGTTTTTGGAAGCCCTGAAACCCTGGTACACAGAATCAGAAAGGGCTAAACCAACATAAATCCGGAGTCCCGAACCCATCCCAAAATCCTTGACCACTCTGCCTTACTTCCCAAGCCCATTTAACACTTCAAGGGACTGGTCCTGGAAGGCAAAGAGCAGGCGCCTCCATGCACCGAAACAGCGCAGATTCGCTCTGAACCACGGTTTTTGACACTCGCACTCGGGGCAAGCTAGGTCAGGGAAGTGAAACCTCGCAAGGCGCTACCGTGTAGTTTATCTGAGACGACGACAAAGCCTTCTTCATGCATGGCCGCATTCGTGGTAATCGCTTACTCACGATCGGATTGAGGCCTTATGACACATCCAACACTCCACCACAGGCACTTGGTTCTTCTTTGGGGCTGTCACTCAAAGAAATATATCTGGAAGTCTGCTGGTCTCCCTTAATAAGGCGAACCCTTTCTGCGTAAACTCCTCAGTTCATGTATGACGCCCATGGGTAGTGTAGAGGCCTTGATAATTACAATAGGGTTTCAAAGGGCGTCTATTATACTGTTACTATGATAAGGAACCCAAGACCCTATTCCAATTCTTAAGGCCCGTTCATTAGTCGTCTAAGCAAGGGTCCAGGCTTGGATCCCCAAACATCTGCGAACCAGCATGTCACTCTTCGAAGAGATGACCCTATGACAGAAAAGCCCTCTAGTTCTTGTTAGGGCCAAGAATGACCATGAGGGATAACAGAAGTTATAATATGAAGATGCCTCTAGGTAACTATAAAATGTATAGTTATTACCAATTCCACCAACAAGTCATCCAACCCTAAAAAAACCAAACCTCTGAAACGATTAAACCGAAAACGACCCAAACGACTGCGACTGTGCCTCGCTGGCAGCTTCTGCCTCTCTGCCGATCGCAGGTGCCTGCCACAAGCTTCAAAGGATGAGGCTTATGTTACAGAGGCTTGCCGCTTAGGGTTTCAAGTCGGTCGTACGGACTGTCACGCGAGACGGCGACAAAATGAATGCGGTGTTCAGGTTTTTTCCCACCAGACCAGCTGACAGAGTCGCACTGCAGGGAAATTCGTTCGAAACTAGCCACCGGTTGTTACGCAAGTCCCGGGATCGAGAAGAGATCCATAGTGACAGAAACCTCTTCCGAAATCGAACTCACCTCGTTGCCTGCTTGCACAAGCACGCACACCGGCACTACCGTCCACTATCACCAAACACCCATCGCAAGTGCAATGGTGCATGCTGACGTCGGAGTGTTGCCTCGCCGCTTTGTGTACATTAGGTACAGCTACAGCGCAGCAACCAACACGCCAGAGCCACGTAACACACGTAAAAGTGAGGATGTAGAGGCAAGCTGAGCCCGCAACCTACTCGCAAAATGTAGCGGGGTCATTGCCTAGGCCCCCTCAGTATGAAAGGCAGGTGGTGTTCAGGGTTTAGGGCTTAGGCTTTGCCTTATACTCATAATTGTTCGAGCGACAACCTCCCAAGCCTGAGAATCCCGACGATGATTCTTCGGCTTCCAGTGAGCCGAGTACACTGAATTGCAGCAGCTAGGGATGTGATTGAATCAGCCGTCAGCCTCCAACAAAATCGAACGTACTCCAAACCTGATTTTTTGAACCCACGACTTCCAACCCCAAATCCCTCAAACCCGTTTCCAGAATCCTTGCAACCCTAAACCCAAGCCCCTAAAACTCCCCTTCTCTCCATGTCGGCTGCACGGTCCCCAGTCTGCTGCAAGCACGAGGAGGCTTGGTGCCAGCCTGGGCAGGGTGAAGAAAACTACGTACGTTGTAGGGATTGTAGGGCAGTGAGGTGTTGTAGGCCTGTGGCTCCCGCATGGCTAGCTCTGCGGGTCTCAATCGGGTCAGCGGCTAGGAAGCGACTCAGTAGAATCAGGAAGTGACTTGACTTGGAGTCTGATTGTATGTGCTAGCACATGCCGTACGGCGTTGAGGGTTTATGCTTTGGTAAGAACTGCATATTTCGCAGGGGCTCACGGCACGGTCGCATAGCGGCTATCCGGGCATGATCTTTCCTACAGGCTTCAAGGCCGCCATCCTGTTCTAGCACGACGCCTCTGGTGGCGTGGAGTGCCTCACGAACAGGATGTCGTTCGTTTCTCTGGTGCTTGGAATGTCTTCAGATTGTATGTATCGGCCTGCTGACTGCTCACGTCTCAAAGGTTCTCCTGGCTAATATTGAGATGTTGAGTGCATGCTATCTAACGAACCTTACGTCCCTACGATGGACCATGCAATCTATTGAAGCTACCGCGTATCTAGTCTCTACATCGCACTGCTTGAAAACAGGAAGCCCGAAATCCCTGCAGCCGTTGTAACAAAGACTATATTATGCGCGTAAGGACGACCAGAGGCTTAGCCGACCAGCAATCCCTGGCGTCCTGCTGCACTTGTACGGTTACGGGTTTCGGGATTTGCTGTGCATGTGGATACGGAAAGCTAGCCCAAGCACCCCAAAGCCCTCTGACTGCCAACTCCAACTCCTTCACACTTTGTGGCTTGAAGCGATGCCTCCAGAGCCGTGAGCGCCTGAAGAGTTGTAGGTTTAGGCGTTCTCTGGGCTTTAGGTTTAGGGTTTGGCCGGCAGGTTTGGATTTAATTTAACGGTTTTTGAAGGATTCGGTCTCTGGGTACCCACTGGAATTCCTAAACCCTTGAAGCTTTCAACTCTTAACTCCCTTCGAGGAGACCCTTCAGAGGAGAGCCTGGGGATACATGTTCCTGGTGACGGCGCCTGTACACGCCTATGTGTTGTTGCGCATTCCATGGTTTCATATGGTTTCGGGGGGTGGGGTGGGGGAGGAGTGGCTAACAACGGAATCTTTATGGCTTCCATGTCGACCTTGAGGTACCTCTCCTCGCCTCTCCTGCGTTCCTCTGCAGGCTTTGTCTTTCCTTTGTGCCCCGTTTGTCTCGTCGACTCTGGGCCCCCTTCTTTCCCACTGTCAGGGCACCTAAAAACCCATCATTCTCTAAACCCCTCTACAAGGACTGCATTTGCTGCATGCCTCATTTTCCCTGGTATATGCTTGGTTTTTGTGCGTTCAGTCACATTTCCCAGAGGTCTGGGGGGAGGGGCAGGGGTGGGGGAAAGCCACAGGACATGCGAACCTCTTGTGCGCGTTGGGACAACTAGCGAAGGCGGCGGCGTGAGCAAAAATGAGGACCTGTGGAATTTCAGATCATGCCTCAAGCTTCAATCTTTGACCCTACCTAACTAAGTAAGGCAAGTCTGGCAACTCAGGACTAATCGAAACCTCTATCTCACATATAAATCTTTGCTCTGCAGCCTCGAGGTCAGCTCGCTGCAGGTTGCTGCACTAGAACGTTTCTCTTTGAACCCGTCCGCACCTATCATCGCCCACTTTCCGCATCGCTGCTCCGAGAACCGGTCTTCATGGCCCATACGACTGTTCAGATACCTTTCAGGGTTGAAGGCCTAGCAGCGCATGGGCTCAGGATGTGGAACTGAGGGTTTAAAAACATGATCCAGAACCCTATAAGGGCCGAAAAGCCCAAACACTGAACCCTATAATGATGATGATGATGATGATCGGGGAAGAAAGGCTTGCGGGCTCGGGGTGTAGGGACTTGCACATGAGGATCTTAAGTTTGCTGGCCCACTCGAGGAATGCCGACATGCAGTAGCCCCATGCTGACGTTTCTCTGTCGCTGGGGCCTTGACAGCTTCAGGGTGACAAAGCTAATGCTGCCAAAATGCAAAAATGCAGGGCGCTGGGCAATTAATGCTGCGGAAATGATACGATCCCCAAGGCACGAATACAAACAATCCCATCTCAACCTGTTCCAAAAGCTAGACGAGACGCTGAAATCGTCACAAACCCGTGAAGTTTCAGTCCCTTGACAGGCCTCAACCTCCAGAACACTAAACAACAAAAACTTCCCCAAACAGAAGTGGAGGGGCGGTCTCACTACCGCCTAAATTCGACCTAAGCCGTCTTGATCATACAGGCTGCAGTCCTTCATGCGGTGTGCCAGGCAGCTCTATGTTTGGTTTCATGTGCCATGTGCCTAAGCCCTTTCTTTCGCAGTCCCCCTGGCAAGCTCTACGCCTCTGATTTTTTGATGATTGGCATCGCGCGATCTCTGAGTCTGTGTTGCGACAAACTGAGGGAACCTCGTCACGCGTCAGGGCGCCGAAGCAAAGCAGGTGCTTCTTGGAGATCAGGGGACTGCAGGTTGCAAGGCTGCAGATAGGGCTCCAAGCACCCCCACCGTGCTTTTCGATTTTGGACTTTATGCTTTGAACCTGTAACTTGCGGGTTGGTGCCGAGGGCGTGGGGCTTATGAACGTTAGGAAGGCATACGCGTCATACGGCGATACAGCTTTAAGTATGCTTTAAGTGTAATATTTGCTGGTAAAGGGTGTCTTTCGTAAGGGAATCGGGTACAAGGGACGCTGAGGTCGCCAGAAGCAGAAGAGGATCCCGCGTCAGTCGGATTGAAATCCGGTGAGAGCTTCCGAAAAGCTGGCTGTCCCAAAACACTTGAAAGGTAGCAGTACACAATGCACAAAATCAGCCATCATGCACCTGTGGTTTGTTTGCGACTGCATGCACGACAGGTGACCAGCGCCTTTACAGGCAATCGGACCCTGGAGATTAGGCGCCGTTGAGCCTAAGCAGCTTCATCTCGACTGGAGTCAGTGAACGCCCTTTCAACGTTGTCTGAGTAATTTGGAGCATGAACGAAACACCAAGTGGCTCTCGAGGTCGCTTTGCTTTCGGCTCTGATGCATGGCAATGAGTGTCCCAATGAGTGGTAATCTTCTCGGAAGCTCGGCGTGCAAATGTTGGAAACCAACCTCGAAAGGTAGCACAGCCTGGAAACGCACAGATTTCTACTCCAAGGGTTCTTGACGGTTACAGGTTGAAGGTAGTCGAGACTCGATGTGCAAGCATGCATCATGTCTGAGAAATCATTGTCCGAAGCTTGGTCCTACTGTGGTCGCGTAGGGTTGTTTTCAACTTTAAGGAGCTTGCAGGATGGAGGGGTGAATTGCACACGGTGCTGTAGGGCATACTAGTCGTTCTATCGTCCAGGTGTGTCGGCAACTTCGCGATAAGCGGCGCCGGGGTGTGATTGTATTGCGAGCAGCTTCTGTGGACAGGAAGATCGGAGCCACGGATCCTGTGCCCCAGATGCTCTTAGGATCAAGGCTACCCTAACTCAATTTTCCGGAACCTCCCTGTGTCAGGTTTCGATTCTTCCTGGAGTGCTGATTTTTCTGTCTGCCCAGTCCAAGCAGAAGCCATCCTTCAAAGATACCAAAGATGCGGGCACGCTGGGGGGGACAAGGTGGACAAAACGAAGCAGCTGTCAGCCAAAGCTTAGAAGAAGGATCGAAGGATCTTGAGTTATTCTGCGTAACGAAGAGAGGCTTTGTTTCACTCCCGAACTAAACTCAATTGATACTGCAGACTACCGCCTGATTCAAACCCTAACAAATGAGGCCAAAGGCCAAAAGGGCTTCGGTGCGGCTTGTAGGATGTAGAGTTCACAGACTCATGCAAAACCCAAAGCAGTAAAGCCTGAAACCCATGCCACCTGGTGTATTCCATAAACTGGACCCCTGGACTTCGCTTGTAAATTTGAGGTCTTTGGGTGTGGGGCCGCAGCGCCTCTGCTTCGGTCTACTTGTATCTTACCGCATCTCAGCTAGCCGAAGTTCAGGATTTACGGCCTTGTTTTTAGGTTTAAACACTCGCAACTCGGACTCGCGAACCGAGAGACATTGTTTTGGGGTTTAGGGTTTCGGGCGTATGGCACGTTTGAGGCTTTTAGTGTCTGAGGTGTGTCAACTTGGATTTCAAACTTCATCAAACAGATTCCCCTAAGCCCGAAACCGACATGCTTGATTCGACGCTTCGTGTAAGGCTGGGCTCGATCTTGGATTCAAACGGGGTTGCCGAAACTGCAGGAGACCGGCATTCGGTGAACTAAACACCCCAGCCTTCCTATTGAAACCCGAAGCCCTGTCCGAAGCTTCCACAGTAGACCTACCAGAACGCCAAATCCTCAAACCAAAAACACCCAAAATCCCCAAACCTTTAGTCCTAAAGCTCTTGTCCCCCTCTGCAGCGAGTGCTCACTTGGAGTGCTGAGTCGAGGAAACTTCAGCGGCTTCGACACGGACCCAGACGAGGGCCATCTGTACTATTCTATTTTGTCCTATTGAAACATACACTATAGGGGATGAAGGATTTGAGCCTGGCTTTGGGCGGGTACATTGGAATATACCGCAATCAGACTAGGCCTATATGATTATCAAGTATTCGACCATAAGAGCAACAAGAATTCGTGCAGCCTCCAATGCACCGCACTTACAAAGCTGCATCCCGCGATACTAATCCCGGTGCGGATGATGAGCTCTAGAGACACTAAACATCACGGAATCTTTTCCTAGAAGCCAATCGAGAAGGAACCGTGTTTTTGCGAAGGACACCGTATTTGCAAATTTGCTTGCGTTCGCGATGAGAACCCGACAAAGAAACACCAGAGTACGACAAAAGAGTCAGCAATCCCTGCGGCCTAAACCTCTTGCCTTTTCCATTGAGGTTTTCGGGTCGTTGTCGTTTCTTGAAGAACTCATGGTTTTAGTATCATAAGCGGACAAGAACCAAGGGCCCTCATGGGGATCCGTGGAGGCAGTTTGCTGCAGTGCCGCAGGGGCGTCAAGGCCCTGAAGGTTTAGGGTTTGGGCTCAAGAAATCGGGGTTTGGGTTCTGGCTGGGGCTTTCCGACTTTTTAGATTCGTGCTTTAGAGATTCAGAATATGGAGGGTTGAAGGTGTGGGCACGGCAGGAAGAAGTGTGTGACACGGTGCTTCCAGCACCCGACGTCCACACAAACTAAGATTGAAAGTATGAGAAACCTGCAAATGCGGGCTAGCCCCCTTCTTCGTCATCCTTCATGACAGCCATGAACTCCTGGAAATCAATTGCTTGGTCACCATTCCTGAGAACAGGAGCTGCGCTCGCATGTTAGAGAAGATGTTGTAACCGGTTCGTTTACCAAGGCTTCATGGTGGTGATACCATGAGGCTTTCAGTTTTAGGAGTTCGTGTTCGTTTTAGGAGGGTTTTGGTGAATGTCGCCTCCTCGATAGTACTGGTCAGTGTATGCTTGGGATGTCCTTCCGGAAGGTACTTGGTAGCTATCACCACGTAAAGACTGTGACGGAGTGCGCTTGACAAATTCAAGATACTATACCAGAGAAAAGTCACCCAATAAGGCAAGAAGGGAAACAACAAATCATTGCTGACTGAGACTGGCAGGTCAGTTTCATCGCCTGAACAAACACATACTTGCGGTGCATTCAGGCTTGCCCACCCTGGGCAAGCCTAAATCCTGAATCCCTCAGCCGAAAACGCCATAAACAGCTAGCAATGAGCAGCCCAGCTTCTTGTCCAGCTGCTTCAAGGTCTCGCTTATCTCCTCCACTGTAAGAGCGCCAAGAAGGCGCCCGGAAGTGAGTTCAGCCATGCTGATCGTGCCTCGGAAATTCACCAACCCCAGTCCCCCGGGACCCAGATCTGGCTCTCGGACGGTAAAGGCTCAGGTGGCAAATGGTCGAACGCCAACACTGCGCAACTTTACTTTACTAGTAAGGAAAACCCTGAAAGCAGACGCCCTTGCCTCCTTGTGCATCCAGGCCTCTTCGAACTGCTGAGGGCTCCCCAACCCCCAAACCCTAAACCCTTCCTTCTCAACGCCGACACCCTCACACTGAGGCGTGGGACCATCACTATTCCTGTCAAAGGCCGCGAATGCAGTTTTGCATACCGCCGTTGTCAGGCTCTGCTTCCTGTCAAAGGTCGCCTCAACAAGCTTCAGGGCTTCCAGGGTTCAGAGTTCTGGCTTTTGAGCATGCGGGGTTGCAGGCCTTGGAGTTCTAGGGGTTCAGAGCCTGCTTTGGGCATCGACTCCGACGAGTCGACTAGGTGCCCTGCGTCCGGGAACTTGTCGCTGACCCCAAAAGCTCAAGCCCGAAATTTTTGCACCCCGACAGCCTGAAAACTAAACCCTAAACATCCGTAAACCCGAAACTGTGGAGCCTACATGTATACGTTTTTCCTATCAACATTCAGTCTAAAGCCTAGACCCAGCTTCTACTGAAAATTGAACCCCACATCCTGTAATCCAGACCCAGGACTCTGGGACCTAGAAGAACATGCAATGGCCAAAGTTCTTGACATGTCGGCAGAGATGCCGCCAAGAACTCCGTGTACGGGAAGGGCTTGTAGGTATTGTCCACCTAAAGAGGCGTGCCAGCCCTGCAAGAAGGGCCTTAATAAATACCTATACTACTTTGGGGGGGCTCCTTATTCAAATTCTAGCACACCGAGCCCCAAAACCCTATTCTAATTATTAAGGCCCCTTTCTTAACTTACTCCATGAACCTTAAGCCGATCAAGGGGGCTTCAAAAGACTCGGCCTGAGCCCAAGAACCAAGCGTAGCAGGCCTTACCCGAACAAGGTCTGCGTCGGGTGTATCGTTGCAATCTTCTTGGATTTAGACTTGTCGGCCAGGAAACAAAAAAGAGTATGGGATGGTGATCCAATGATATCCAATGTTTGATTCGTTGCCAGTCTGTGGCTACAACTGCTACTACCGCTGCTACGACGACCACTGACTAATGCGACTGCGACAGCGTCCACGAATCCGACTACTGACAACGCGCCACTGACTACTGCGGTCCCCCATGCAGCAAGCAAAACAAGCGAAAGCCCAGGCCGCAGGATCGGGAGCACCAAAAATCTCGCGAGCCTCAGCTCTGCAAAAACCAGATTCAAAGCTGATGGTGTAGGGGTTGCGGTTCAGGGTTGGAGAGGTGCGACTTCTAATTCTGTCGTTGCAATTAGTATCCGCTGTGTCAATGACTGGCAAAATTTGCAGCGGCAAACTTGTCCACACTCTTACGGTTGTTCCGCGCTCATTCGGATCATTCAGGTGATGATGATGGCCTTCAGTATAAAAGTTCCACCAAGCTTGCCGCCTGGATCTGTCCCGCTGGGCAGTTTTAGGGGCTAGGGCTTCGGAAAGGTCCCCCTATTCTTTACGGCAGGGGACCCAGTATTCGGAGCCGATGCCCTTGACATCCTGGCACTTTGAACCCTCAACACTTTCCGACCCTTGAACCTGAAACCGCCTGAACCCGAAACCAAGCAAGCCTACCGGACTAGGCTTTCGATTGGTTTCGACGTGACAAGCGTTGGAGGTTGAAGTGCAATGGGCTCAGGTCTTCGCGTTTACGGCTCAAGCACTGCTCTGAGTATGCCCTTTGCTTCTACTGCAGCTCAATCATCACGAATGTTCGACTTGTGGAATCTCCAAGACGAGGCTTGTCGGTCTAGGTCCAGTCTAGGTGTTTTGAGGCTTCCGGTGTCACGTCTGACGCTTTAAGGTTTGGGAGTTTCGTTTCTCAGAAACCCAGTGGTGACCCGAGCCAGGTATAGCTACACCTTGACACGTGACATTGAGTCTTCAACAACAACACTCTCAACCCTATAACAATGGCCTTGCAATCACCCTTAGAAAACCCTCATAGAGAACATTCATTCAAAAAACAACTTTGAACCACTTCAAGATCTTCAAGCCAAGGAGACATCCTTCTCGCCCACCAACTTCGCCATTTCCTAGTGCTCTGGGCCACTGGCTGGCTTTGGGCAAACTGAAACTAGGAGAAGAGGGAAAAACAAATCAAACACCTCAAGTAATTGTAAACAGTCGAGTACGATTTTAGTAGCAAGACTCTAAAAAGCGTAGAGAGAAACAACGGGACAAACATATGATGTGATTATTATGCGATATAGGAAAAGCGAAAGTAAAATGCGCAAAGTTGTACGGCCTCAAAATTCGTATTGTTATTCAGCCAGGTAGGTATGTATGATGCAGGGCTGCCACACCCCCCTCCCCCGCCCACCCCATGGTATCCTCTGCCCCTTCCCCCCCACCCCTGTGGTGTGGGGCCTGTGGTGGTACTCTTTTTGCCGCGACGTTCTTATGTGTTACTCCTTGTCTTCCCTCTTGCTGTGGCGCCGGTGATACTGCTCATGATGTTGCCGGACATGAGTCGACAATCAGACCATGCTCAACATCATCCTTGTCGTCGTCATCTTCATCATTAATACCATCAAAAGATTATCTGCCACCATCACCATGCTCAAAGAGTGGGTTGCAGTTTTGGGGCCCCTACAAAAGTATGTGTGAATTGGTACCTCTATAGGAAAATGCCTGAAAAGTATTTATGAATAGGTACCTCTATAGGAACTATAAAGTTTTAGAGGGGAATTTCAATTTGTCCCAAAGTGCCACCTAGAAGAACCAAGGAAAGGTGGGGCCTTACCTCGGTCCAGAGGGTTTCCAGCATTTCGTGGCATTCCATCTCAGAGCATGCATGGGAACACCATTGTAATTTTCAGAGCATCTATGTCCACGTGGCGGTCAACCCGATATTGTGGTCTCTCTCTCTCGCTCTCTCTCTCTCTCTCTCTCTCTCTCTCTCTCTCTCTCTCTCTCTCTCTCTCTCTCTCTCTCTCTCTCTCTCTCTCTCTCTCTAGTTTCTCTATTGAACCAACATTCAGCCCAATCAAACCATCTTTTTCCGATGTTTTCACCTTTTTGATTTCCATGGGTTGGATCCAGTTATGGTTGTTACGCGAACTTAGGCTTGGGGGTTAGGCGAACCTCGGTTTTGAGGCGAATTTAGGTTTCGCGTCGACCGAACTCGAGTACGGCAGTTATCTCGCGGGAGAGGTTCGAAACGCATGTCTTGGCAACGACAGCACCAACCTCAAACCCAAAAACCCTAAATCGATTGCAGGGACTGGGCAATCTTCTAGTCTGCCAATTGTCGAAGGAACAGAGTTCGAGGGCTGTAGGAATGAGGACATACTGCTGCGCTGCCGATGCTCGGAAGTTTGACCACTTTTCAAGCGGCAACGTGGTTCAATGTGAGAAGCGAGCTCTGACTGTTCGTGTTGGTGAGTCCTTGACGCTGTGCTAGCCACTCATCCTTCGCCCATCCTTAAACATTGTGTCCGATGTCGCCGAATTCCGGATCGAGGTTTCCGGATCGATTCTAGCACGGGCCCGAGCAAGCTAAGCGTAAACATAAGATAAATACATCCATTTGTATCGAAAGAAGAGATAGATAGATGAATCTTTGTGTATGATAGCTAGATACATGCGAAAGTAGATGGATGGGTTGATAATTAGGCAGTTGTTAGACATCGAAATAGCTAGAGAACGAGATAGATGGCAGTTAGCTAGCTTGGCGGGTCGGTAGGTAGGCAGCGAGGTAGGTGGGCAGGTAGGTGGAGAGGCAGATGATTGGGTAGATGGGTGGATAGATACATGCCTAGGTCGGGAGCAGCAGACCGATATATACACAAGTTTCCATGTGTATATATGATACATGTACATATATGCATACATATAAATATGTGTGTGTACTGTGCGATTGTTGTATACATATACGTATACATATACATTTGTATGTATGCACACACGTACATCTACGCCTTTCACACATGCTCACATACAGAATGCCTACCAACCTGCCTACTTAAATACATACTCCTTGCACAAACGTTCTGCACACAACATGCAGCGAGGCAAATCATTAGTCAGTCCGTGTACACACTCGCCATTCATCCCCGCTGGGACAAAAACCCACGCACGGATTGATTGGGCGTCGGCTGTATGTGTTTGCCACAGAAAACGCCGCCCAAACTCGGAACTACTGTAGGCCATAACACACAACCCACGAAAAGGCCCGGAGGTCCTCGAATGAGATGCGGCCGTCGCCAGAGGAGTCCAGAAACTGGAACAAACTGTCCGAAGTCGCCCTTTCTGACTCCTTCAAGAAAGAGGCGGCCACGTTGAAACCTCAGTGGCATTGCACACTACCACCACTGTTATGACTACCGCCTCCACTACCACTACCACCACGACCAAGACTACGTGACCCTTGCTTCCTCGTCTTATGCATTTCTGTGTCAAACAATCGCACCTCAGGCGCATGCATCACGTAACGTCCTGAAGAAACAGTAGTAAATGCATTTCTCTCCCCCAGTACACAATACATGCTATATGTGTATAAACCCGTATGCAGTACATGTGTGCTTGTGCCTGTAGATCAGCGTAGGTGTATGTTAATGCGTGCATGTACGTGTTCAGGTATGTGGGGAGACTGTGTGTGTATATATATATATACATGTATACATGTATATATATATATATAGATATATACACATACCATATTTGCTAGCTTGCATCACATCACGATGGTTCTATATTGCTGTCGGTTATGCAGCCCTTTCCGTAACTGGGGTTCCGACAAGCTCGTTTGAAACGGTTGTGCTTGCGGTAGCGCTTTAGCCGCGCGAGAACATTGGGCTGGATGGCCACGTCCTCCACCCTGGTTGAGGGGATTCAGGTGAAGCTACTTTTGGAGGTTTCAGCACTCACACTCGGACTTGCATAGGCGAGGCTCCTGGGTTTGGGGGTTGGGGGTTTACGCGTTTAGGGGCAGAGCTCGAGGCTTACGACGCTATGGTTCGGACTATCCCCGGAGCAAGGCTAACACATCCTGCCATGGCCTTGGAGTGTTGTTCACGATCCATGGGTGCTGCAGCGCGGCCGCAGCCGTAGCGCGCTTATGAACAGATTTGTCCAGGAGAACTGTCACCAAGTTGATGCAGTCCTCAAGGGGTTCGAAGCCCCTGAACTCTGAACCCGAAAACAAAGGCCTGGATGTCAGGCTGTCAAGTTCTGAGCTTGCCGGTTTAGGCTTCAATTTGCTGGTTTCAATCATGCGTTTCAGGTAACTCTGCTGCTAGGCAATCCCAAATGCTCAACACGGCCCAGGTTTACTCGCGTAAATGCATACCGGGATTTAAGGCTTATGGCCCGGGCTACAAGGGGCCAGATGGCGGTGTAGATTTAGAGTTGCGCTGATAGGGTGTAGAACTAGAAACCGGACCCAAAAAACTTGAATCAGACGGTCCTGATGAATGAGGTCCCATGGATGGACGTTCAAGTTAAACTTGAACCGCTTGGAGCCTCGTGAGGTGCAGGAGCCCTATTTGCCGGTAAGGAATGTCACTAGAAATGCATTAAGCGTCTCATTCTAACATCAGGGGTACCGGGGTCTCCGAAGTTCCGAAGTGCAGGATCTAGCGTACGAGGTTCATGTTCTGGAGTTTGGTTAAGAACGTTGCGGGGGGAGTCCTTCTAGTTGGGATTCTATCCGTAAATCAAAGCGCATCACTAAGCATATGCATGTGCAAATGCGTATACACGTATAGTATCTATTTGTACCCATGTGTAGTCTTATCGTTGTGGCTTGATATTCATATCTACATAGGCACTGACACAAACATCCATCTATCCATCCATCCATCCATGCATGCGTGTATTCATATATACATATACATATACATATATATATATATACATGTTCTTTGTCTCATGTATTCAAGAACAGACCTTGAACAGAAACCCCAAAACACACGGCTGCACTGTAACCAGTCGGGCGCCTTTCTCGTTCGCATCGAAGGGCATCAGCCGTGAGACGACGAAGAAAAGAATGACCCCACAGCTCCACAGATCCTGTTTCGGGTTTCGAATATAGGCTCTAGCTCCCCATTCCGCAAGGATTCTGTACCTTTGTTGCCTTGCCTATTTGGGACTCAGTTGCTTCGGCCTCTAATGACCTGGGTTAAGAGTTCTGAAGCGAATTTGAATATTCAGAGCCTGGATGTGTCTGGAGTGTTGCTCCCGCCTTCCGTGGCTGTGGGTGTGCATAAGCTGGAAACGCTTGATGAGAGCTTGGGATTTTTTGACATCGCGGCTTCGGCGCTGACGCAGGGCCCAGGGCTTGGCAGTACGAGCTGAGGCTCGTTGGTTTCGAAGCTTCTCGCAACAGTTCTTACGACCTTGTCTTTTGCTGGCGATCTCGGTTTAAATAAGAATGCGGCTCCAGGACACATCACCTTCGGGCTACAGATTGCTTTTCGCGCCTGTAGAGCATTTACAACCCTGTACACCGTAAAGCAAAGAGGATCTGCTCCAAGCTACTCCGTAACGGTACACACCAAAACCGAGCCCTTGGACGGAAAAGAAACAACCGTTCACAGGGTTCCCAGACCCTCAAATCTTGTACGCAAACAAGCCGTACGTGCAAACACTTAGGGTTTGTGGCCATTGCAATCTGCGAGCCCGTGTTTCCAGTAACTGTTACGCCTGAAAGTCTGCAGGCATGCACTGAAGTTTCAACGAAAACAACGGCTGCCGGTGTGATTTTGACCATGAACATGGAAGAGAAGCTTGGCTCAAACCGTCGGGTTGTGGCGTTGGGTATAGCGTCTGCTGCCAGGCTGCGCAGGCCAGGTTATACTTCTTGGCATAGACCTACCATCTTGGATGCTTTCCACAACAAGCAGGGCATCAAGCGAGCAAGAAACTTCACAGAATGAAAAACTCCTCGAGGAACAGTCCCTCACCCAAAAGATTGCAATGCAGTCCCTCCGGTTTTGGAGAGCGGTCGACCGCAATTCTGAAACTTTTTCTGGTGTTCTCGTCACTGCGCTGCCCCGAAATAACCAAATCCTGCAGCCTCTACCATTGTCTTCGTCTTGATTACGTGTCCTGAATTCCTGAAACTCCCAAACCCGAAACAAGCCTGTGCAAACTTGAGTTCTGGACCCCGAGCCAGAAACCCCAAACTCCAATACATACCTCAACACGCTCTCTTTGCCTTGCTTTGCAAAGAGTTTGAGCTAGGAGCAGTCCTCCTAGCCCGCGCCTAAGCGCTACCCCGTCCTTCATCTTGAGGGACGGGCTCGGCTTTACTCTCACACACACACACACTCTCTCTCTCTCTCTCTCTCTCTCTCTCTCTCTCTGTCTCTCTCTCTCTCTCTCTCTCTCTCTCTCTCTCTCTCTCTCTCTCTCTCTCTCTCTCTCTCTCTCTCTCTCTCTCTCTCTCTCTCTCTCTCTCTCTCTCTCTCTCTCTCTCTCCGAGGCATTCGAGACGACACCGTTAAGGCCCTGATCCCTCATGTCCATTCACCACCCGCCTCTGGAGCCATGTGGCTGGGTGTGCCAGCTGTGGAGGTCAGTGGAACGCCCGGCTGAAAGAGTGTGGCGAGCCCGAAGTCCGTCACTTTCAGCGTGTTTCTGCTGCTGCCTGAGCGGCTGTTCGACCCTCACTCGGCACACCTCTCGACTTGTGCCTGTCTTATGCAGAGGCCATTCGAGTCTTCTCTGTGTCTTGGAGGTTTTCGCGGATGACTCCGCGGCTTTCGGGTGTGCATCACACACACACACACATATATATATATATATATATATATATATATAATTTTCTTGTATATTATATATAGATATTATGTGTGTGTGTGCGTATATATGCATATGTATACACATGCATGTACATATACACGTGCATGCGTAGATGTTTATACACATCATACAGAAACAGACCATGAAATTGACACTTGCATGTATATATATATATGTACATATTAATACACACAATATGTATATGGATGGGCGGGTGGTTGGCCAAGAGAGACTACATGTCTCCTCCCCATCAACCCGGCAGTGTTGCCGTCTAGACGGCCTAGAGGTTTTAGGGTGCGGCTGAGGGCCTATCGTCTGCAGGTTGGAGTTGATCGGTTTATGGCATGTCCACCTTGGCCCGCTGTCTTAAAACAGACATGGTAGTTTAAGTCTGAAGTCTTGCATGCCGGGCTACCAAGCACTATAATCACTATAAATCCAAAACCACAAGCCCTGGACCACATAAAGTGGGACTTCGGGTCTCCAGCTTTCAGCTTCTTTGGGCTGTGCGCGGATGTTGACGACCTCCACTTACCCCACTCCCTCAAACCTCAAAGCCCGACGCCCCCAAGTCCTGAAGCTTAACCCCTGGCACGGTGCCTGTAAACGGCTCATCATGCAGAAGCATGAGATTCTCGCTTTTCAGGTCCTGGGAACCATACTGCATGAGGCTTTTGACGATTTTACGGTGTCCTTCGCTTGTAAGCCTCAGGGTTCAACTGTTGAAGTGGTTCATGAGATTTGGCTTTGGAGTCATGAAAGGGAACTCTTCGACCCTGTAAAGCAGCTATACCTGCAGAAATCCGAAGTCTCGAAACCTGGAGACCACGAGAACTATGCCTACAAGCCGGCAATACATTTAAGGGTTTTTGATTTGACCAGAGAAATATTTCAACTGCTGTGGACCCTGCTCCGCACCGCCCACATGAGCTAGTACTTGACTACGGCGCGCGCGAAGCCCGGTCCACAGTCAACGGTAGAAGACAGAACCTAGTCTTGCTCTTATTCCTGGCCTGCGCAGGTCCCGCGTTTAGCCGCCCCATTGACTACACAGCCATTGCTACACCCAACAAGCATAGTCATCCTACTGTCCCCGCGTACAACAATAAGAAGCTAGCGCTTGATTCTCACTCCTAAGTCATAAACCCCTTCAAGATCCCATAAGAAGTATGGAACTCATAGAAAACTTATGCGACCATTGATGAACTGAGGACACGGCCCTGTGGCAGATAAAACGCCGGTGCAGGTAGGATACCTTGCAGCTTGGATGGCGTAGGCCCGGCCAGGGTTTTCGGGGCTTCGGGCTTAGTATAGGGGTCTTAACAATTAAACTAAGGTTTTGGGGCCCATTACACTATAATCACACTAATTAAGGAGCTCCCACACTAATATTGTGTTAATTGTTTAGGCCCCTATATTATAAGGTTCGCGGTCTAGGGCTGACGTTTAAGGTCTAGGTATGCCACGTCATTTTCACTGACGCTTCGCGACGTGTTTGTTTGCATCAGGCCGGGATATACTTTTGATGGGTACGATGGCTGACTACTGCTCCCTGTCTGGGTTCTACTTGTGACCCTCCGGGCCAGATCTATCGCTAATGTCCGAACTCAGAAGCCTGACCTTCAAGACAAAATAAAAGAAGCACCCCTTGAAGCTGTGGTGCTGCACGGAAAAGTTGCCTCATGGCAGCGACAGCCGGCTGCTCCTGCACAGTAGCTTTGTGGAGCTGGGGCCCCAATGATTGCAAAACCGCTTTGGATTATAATTTGGGGGCCCCAAAACCCTATAGCAATTATTAAGGCCCCTACATTAATATGATCGCACAGGGACTTTGACCTCTGGATTGACGCTTTCAGTTGCTTTGCAGAAACTTGGAGCACCCTAAGCCCTAAGTTGTTTGTAATTAGTCGTAGTGCCGCCACCCACTTCGTTCAGACCTCTCATACTGGCATCACTGGCATCTACGCTGTAAGGCTAGTTGCTGTTGCCTGTGCTACACAGTCAGCGACGAACTACTCAGCAACCTCGCGCGAAACAAGAAGGCTTTTGTGACGATGATACTCAACCTACACAGACGCCGCTCCCGGTTCTAATTGCAAATCCCGCGATGATGCTGCAAGTCTCAAAAATGGAGTCCAACTCTGTAAATCGGCTCTTGTCCTTCAGTCGGCCGTAGCGCATCACGTAAGCCTGGACCCGGTCGCGTTGCTTAGTAGTGCGGTGTTCTAGCTACGGCTTCCGAGATGTTTCATATTGACTTCCTGAATTAAAAGACTTTAACATGTAGATTGTGGTTGAGGGTTCTGCCAGACGAGGTCTCTCGGTTCGCGTTCCCAACTACTAGGGTTCAGATCGCCCCATAGAGCAAAGCCGGCAAAATTAAACAAGACTGTGAGGTCCGCAACCGAAACATGTCCTGCACTGACCATATACGCCAAGTGCAACATGCTTAAAATTAAAACAAACCTCAGTTGCTTCAACAGACGATGGTGTCTTCAAGATTTAGTCAGCCGGAAGCTCAGCACGCAAAGCAAAACTCCAAAGGCAGCTTCGGTGAGGGCCTACTAGTCCTGGTGATAGTGCTAGCAGCAGCAACCAGCATCGTGTGGAGGCCTGCAAATGGCCCCCCCGGCACAGTGACATCACGAGATGGACGTCGTCGTTGTCTTCAAAAATCTCATGCAGCATCACCTCGGCTCGGGCTTGTGTCTCAGCGTCGAAGACAGTGTTCCGTGATGGCGACTCAAGTAGTGCCCACGTCAGCTTGAAAAGTTCGAGGGGCAATGTGCGGATGGTCCACGAGCTTCAACAGCTGGACCTGTGCCCAGGGAACCCAAAAACCCTTACGGAGGAAATATGCCTCAGAACGTACAATTACTCGGGCTTCTTGCTCGGCAGAACACTGTACGTACGTACGATTGTATATATGTATGTATGTACACCTATATAAAAACATAAAGGAATATACACATGTGTGTATATGTAGACTCCATGCCCGTCCTCGAGTCTTGAAATCAACTATGGTTGGCCTCCGTTTTCAACGTGACCAGCTTTTCCCTCATTTTCTCCTGGAGAGTGAGAGGTCTCCAGAAGCAACAGAAATGAAATCATTTTTACGGCGGACATGGTTCACGGATGTTCAGGGTTTGAGGGACTCGACCGAAAAGGCTTTGCACCTGCTTGGTTACGACTTTACGCTCTCGCAAGTCGGACGCATCCAGACGAGGTTCTTGGTAGGCATCAACAACTACAAAGAGCACAACCAAGTCGGTCGAAGATCACACCACTGGTTGCGACTCTAGGTATGCTAATTTCTGGTACAAAGCACAAATACCACAAATTAAGGCGTCGAGAGTGATGCTTTCTGTACACGGTTCCAGTGTCCGGGTAACAGTGAATCTTTCCAGCTCATATAACAATGCAGGAACCTCGGTTCGTGCCGGTGGCCATTCCCCTAAACCCCGATCTACGAAAGCTGTTCAACCCTATTAGCAACCCTAGGTCCCTGTGCTCTCTCTAAGCCCTTCCATATCAACACCCTATAATGTTTCGTAAGAACCTCCGAACATTCAAGTCGGTTAGCGTTCTGCAGCTTCGTCTCAGGGTTTTAGGTTATAGCCCTTTTTGGTCAGGGTTTCAGAGTTTCGGGTTTAGGTGTTTAGGCTACAGCTGTTAGGGGAGGTAGTGCAATTATTGTTGGGTATGGAGCGTCGTTTCTTCTTTGTTAAGTATGGGACTTTACGGGGTCAAGACCGGCTTCTTGCATGGTGGTGTTTCGCAAGCCGTAAGTCCTTCGGAATCTTCTTGATCGCTCTGGATGCCTCAGACTCACATGGGCTGCACAGTTTCAGCGTTCGAGAGGCATTCCCCTCACCAACAGAGTTCTCCTGCACCTAATGCTTGTTGTTGCTGCTGGGAGGTTAGGGCTTCGGCGCTCACGAGGTTGGGGTTAGGGGTTGGACGCAAAAAACAAAGCATGTCGAGATCCTGTCTTGCGAGTCTGCCCGATCACAACGCGTGATCATAGGTCCGCGGTGAACCAATGTCTGTCGAATTCAACACCCGGCTACTGCAAAATTTTGCAAGCCGGAATAATGAGAGGGTCTAACGAATTGGGGGTAAGGATATTCTTCTCACTAGCAGCAGCCGACATAAGAAACATGGCGCAGCAAGAATGGCAGTCTGTGTGTGCACATGAGTGTGTGAAGCCCCTTATAACTTAAGCATACTTAAGCTTGGCACTTCTCAGGAGCTTCATGAGTAGTGTAGGGGCCTTATCATGAGATAGGGTTTGGGGACCCATTATACTGTAATTATGGTTAGTCATTTAGGCCCCTATAGTATCTTACTTGACCTTCCTGACAGTGGAGACTCCTACTAGGAACATGTGAAGCACCTTTACCCGCTGAACCTGAACCTCATTAATCCACTGATCTGGCCAAACCGAGACCCACGTGGCAGAATTACTTGAAACTGCTTTGCAGGGTTGGCCTGAAAAGCTCGAGTGCCAGGTGCGCATATGTTCTCTTCTGAACACATCCGTGATGATATCTTATTACGGGACCTCGCAGAGATTTTCAACTAGTCCATAAGAGCTCGATATGGGTCATTTCGTTTCTGGAAGAATTAATTCGGTTGAGGGTGTTGGGTCTTACTCGGAAAATGTAGGGGGCTGTGCTTTCCCCTTCGTCCCTACCGCCTGAGACAACCTGAAAGCCCGTGAAAGTTGACATTCTCTTACACTACACAAACCTGACATTCTGACTACGTCCCCGAACTAGAGCTATAAGTGTCCAGCATATTCAGACTCCTGCTTTGGCACAGGGCCCTTCTCTGAACGGGCTTCAGAAGCTCTCATTCCATCCCGAGCCACTGGACTGCAACCCCGCTTCACCGACATAAGCGAAGCCTTTGTTTATCCCTGCCGCCGAGCGCGTGACCGAGGACTCTGCACAGCAGGTATGGAAATGAGGAATCCTAAACGCGACCAAAAGCAACACGTAAACGACAAAGAACACCTGGAGCACCGCGCAAAACGCCCTGCACTGAACCCATTGCCATAGAACCCTCTCAGCGCATGGCCTTTGTGACCCGAAGCGTCGCATAGAAAACGGCCCCAAAGCTTCCTTCGCCCAAAGGTTTCGCATCCAACCTTGGTCGTTCGATCTATTGTTCATGTAGTTGAAGAAAAGAATCGTTCTGGTGTGTTGGGGTCTACAGTAGCGGTCTGCGGCTTGAGCTTATGGAGTTTAGGATGGATGCTTCAGGTTATAGAGTGTAGTGTTTTCGACTTGTTCCCACCTGTCTAGCTAGAGAGGGCCGCACTTGACAGCGTCAAGTCTTGGAACAAGTTTGGGGCTCTGGGTTTCGCTTCGGACGGGGGGCTTCTGGCTTGAGCTTCAGGGCTCAGGACCCCTCGGTTCTGGAGAGTCGCCTCTCACGGATATCAGCCTCCACTGCTACAGTAGGCGCCTTCTTGGCTTCCGTGCTATGAAGCCAGGTGACTATAGGCGAGGCGTCGGAAGCGTCTCGCAGCCGACATACACTCAAGTCAAACATGATAAGCAAAACTGTACTGCCCAAGGTTTGGGGCGCCCGGAGCCCTAAACGACAAGATTAAAAGATGTCACACCCAAGCTCACTGCACCGAGCGGTTCATTATCTTGGGCTGCTGGAACCCACACCCCGGGCGAAGGCATACAGCGGCATACACATAAACACATGCACATATGTGCATACATATGCACTTACGTCCGGAAGTATACATACAGACATACATGCAGACAGACAGACAGACAGAAAGACAGACAGACAGACAGACAGACAGACATACATGGTGCAGCGCTGCTAGGCCCCCCCTCCCCCCCCCACCCCATGGTATCCCCCCCTTCCCCCCTGTGGTTCCCTCGGGTGTGGGTTCCCCCCTGCCCCTCCCCCCTGTGGTTGCGGTCGGCTGCGCCCCCGTCCATGGCTATGCGTCCGGTTGCTAAGGGTTTGGACCGTAGGATGTGACACAGTTCTATTGAACTCCGACCTGCCCTGAGCTCCAAAGCCAATGATAGTGATGAATATGATGGTGATGATAATGACGAAGATGGTGCTCATGATCCCCATCCGCACTCTCATCCGGTCCCTTGCTCAAAACTCCCGAATGAAAACCATTCAAACACGTGCTCAAGCTTACTTGTAACGAACCCAACCGAAACTTGGCTTGGAATGACAACGGTCGATATGGTTTTCGCAAGAACATCACAAGCCAAGCACGGCTTTCAACTAGATAAAGTGATGAACATGCGGTGCCGAAGCCCAGAGCAACATAAGAGCAAAGGTACCACCAATAGCCACACTGGGACTAGCACATCAACATCATTGCGCACAACATTCTCATTTGTGCTCGAAGAGAGGGGAAGGGAAGGGGCCCGGTGGTTCCCTGTGTTGATTATCCTCCCCCACCCCGCCCCTGTGGTTCGCCGTCTTGTGGTTCCACTATTGTGGGTTATCCCTCCCGCACCCACCCCCGATTGCCAAGGCGAGAGGCGAGGCCTGGCTTGGGGGGGGAGTTACGCGGATGACGTGTGACTGTTTGATTGGACGAGACGCCTGGCTTCCGGGGGGGGGGGCATACCATGGGGGGGGGCCTGCGACGCGGCGACGCGGCACCATATATACATACGGTACATAAGGTACATACAAACAACCAGACATAAATACATCTGCAGGAATACTCTCCCCTGCCGTACAGGTATGACTGTGCAGGCATGCACAGTAAGTTTACACACATCGAGAGAACGATATCTGATCGTCCATACAGTAAAGTCATAGTCATCAAAGTGTGGCGTCTGAACACAACTCGAATAGTAGCAATAGAGAGCCATGGCCGCGCCGTCCTCATGACCTACTAAAAAGCATCAGCATCCGAGCGACTTGTAGAAGTCCGAGACATTGCCTGGACTGTGCTGGCGACAAGACTGCCGGATGGAGTGTGGGGCTATGCCCAATGCTTGCTCTATTTTACGCTCTCATAGGCATCTTGGCTTGGTGGAGTTTAAGCTTGGGAATGCTTCGGGGTTGAAAGGTACATTGAATGAGAGCACAGTCCACCAAGATAATCCCTCCAAAAAAACACCTCATTCGCATCCCGGTCGTCCTGCGAAATGTATAAACAATTTTTGGACTTGGATTGCACATAGAGGATCTACGATCTTGGTGCGGGTTTAGGGCTTCCGACTCGCACACTCGCGTTGGGCAGGCACGGAAGGGCTTTAAGGAACCGGAGTAGGAATTGAGACTGGGCATCATAATGATCAGACCAGGCCAGTATTGACGTTGCGTACAATACATCTGGCTGAGCGGCGGCAGGTTCGGGACGTGTCCCGAGGCTGGAGACATCAATGACAGCTCACCGCGCAAAAAAGGACGGTCCTGTAATTACTTGGAACACGGATTCCCCAGAAATCCAAATCTCTTGGCCGTCACGCCCAAGCTGCCGTGGTTGTTGATAACGATGCCCAGGGCTGCAGAAGGTACTATACCCATGGTATCCGTCAGCCGCACAAACTGATGCACGTGGCGAGATGCCTGGCGCGACACGGAAAGCAAGGCTGCCTGGACTACTCTCGCGTTCTGTGCTTTCTACTGTCCACTCTTCATACGGTAGCATTCCGAATCCCACCGCGGCGATCCACAAACAGCTACCTTGGAACAAAACGCTAAGCGAACTCGACAAGAAAGATTCGCAAACGTGCTGATCCCCCCCAAAAAAATAGCGCTTTTTGTTCCGATGCCTTCCGCTCTTTCGAAACCAGTCTCACTTAGTTTGCTAAGCTTAACAAGTTCTATTATGCGCTGGTTATTTAATGTAGCTGCTATATTATGTCTCTCGGATGTGTCTTGCGCAACGTATGAAGTCAGGCCGTGCCGGATACTAATTGAGGTACCGAAAGTATTTCTGCGAATATTGAAAGGTTATACATCCTGCATGAAGAAACCTACGCTCTGTTTCAAGAAGCTTGTTCAAGCATCAAATCTAAGCTCATCGACAGTAATCAAACTCCCTTACAAATTTTATTCGGAACTACTCCCTGCTGGGGCTCCATGACTTTATGCCTATCAGATTCTATCAGGCTCAGATTAGATGCAAGACTATGCAAGAACATGTTTGGGTTGCTCTAGATCGGGGATCTTGTTATGGATTCATTTATTGTTAAGCCAACACTCCATTTGTACAGCGTCAATATAGGTTCACCTCGGCTCCCCTCGAAAAAAGGCCTTGCGGTGATAGACGTACGGGCTGGACTCGGCTCCGTCGTGATGGCGGCTGCAGGGGCTGACTTCGCTTCCATCGTGTGACTCCGCGTGGCGGCCGTGCTGCGAAAGGGCCTTGCACCAAGCACGAAGATGAGCGTCAAAAGCGACAGTGCAGGAACCGCAAGAAGAACAACATGCATAGACACAAAAGTCATGGAAGCACTAGAAGCTTGCACGGTACCCATTAACTCGTGAAGATACGTACTCCTGGTATTATTGAACAAAAAATTACACATAAAAGTTACCCCACAACCCTAAATGCAGCAACAATAATACATGATTCCGAAGCAGCGAAAATCCTCAACCCTGCTGACAAAGGTGCGTGCTTTAGAACTGCAAGCACTTCAGCCCTGTAGCCGCGCAATTCTTGTTTGGAACAGGTCCAGGTCTGAGGAGTTACTTTCAGGCGTGTGCTGAAGGATGCATGTCAATCCCTTTCGTGTTGAATGTGTTTGAAGTGTCCGCTGATTCATCCGGCTCGCGCCTTGTGCGGCCTCCTCCTCGCATGTCCCCGGCTGTTGCCAACATCTGTATCTGTGGAACACACGGCTAGGTCGACAGCCGGCTGAGCATGACCTTGCGGGCCACGCTGGTCGGGCGAGGTCGAGGTTTCTTGACGTCGGGATGAGTATTTTAAACCTCCAGTCCACTTACGGTCAGCAACAACTCTCTGCGGAAACCCAACCACAACTGGCAGACCCGTCATCCTAATCATCTGTCTGACTGCAGCACTGCACCGAGACGCCAAAGACCCTAAAATTCCTTCACCAGACTTTTCCTTGAAATCTAGAAGGGACTCCTGATGAAGGAACGCGCGATGACGGGCCCCTTCTGATTTCCATCCCGTAGATCATTTGCCGAAGACGTTCTCGAAACCCCGACACAACTTGTCGAACCTCCGAGCCTGCAGCAAACCTCCCATCGCAAAACCCTAAACCCAAAACCTAAAACCCAAAACCCTACACCCAAAACCCTAAACCTAAAACCCTAAACCCTTGTAGGGTTTAGACAGCGACTTTTGAGCAGCTTAGCCAGGGCTGGGCTCCTTCTCTCTTTCGCTGAAATTCACTTTTCGCGCCTCCCATTTTTTTAGAAAACACACAAGAAGAGCCCAATACCCCGTAAGTACTCAAAGGCCCCAAAGTAGTTCCGTTTTGGGGTTCATATATAGAATCCTGTAAGGTAATCCCAAAGAGGAACTACTATGGGGCCTCTGGGTAAAGAGGGAACATACTCCACAACAGTGAAAAACAGTTCTCTATTCAAGCAGTGTAGCTTTTCATTCCGGGACTCTCCAGGAGCAGTACGCCCTGAAATCTAACTATCCCTACCGGCTCTAACCCTCTCCAACCCATATCTGCAATATACAGAATCCTGCGCCCCATCTGGTTATTCCACCTAGGACCCGGGATGCTAAGCGACGTTCAGGCCGGAAAGGCAGCTGTCAAACTGCTGCAGGGTTCTATTAGTACTTATCAGGTATAGGTTTTTTAAGGTGTAGGGTACAGGGTTTCAGCACTCGCACTCGGGGTTTAGAGTATAGGGTTGTGGGGGTTGAGGTTGTTGCCTCCTGCTATACATCAGCAACATGTCATACATCCCCACGAACGTTTGAAGCCAACCGCCCGTCCCTAAACCAAACCTCTGATTGAATCTGGACTTCACATAGCCGAAAGCCCCAAAGTCTCAATCAGAAGACAGCTCAAAATCCTGATCTCTCGCCCCCGACATTTCAGCCTGTGAAGCCCGGGCCCCGCGTTGTTTCGTAGTCGAGCTAGATAAGACTGCCAAAGTTCTATATCAGCGCCATACTGTATAAGTGCCACAGCACGGAATAAAGAACTCAAAAGAACACCAACGTGCATCTCTACGCCGCACTCTATGCTATACCTTGCACCCGACCCAGCGCGAAACCCTAAGCTGCTTCTACTTTCAACAACACAGCTGCCCGACGGGGGGCCCCACACTCCAAACCGTGAACCCTCTACCGATACTACTGTAGACACCTGATGTAGAAACTCCTGTCCCTTAGTATGGTCGACACCCGAAACCTCACAAAGGCAAGAACCTACTGTAGAAGCCTAAATACTTACCAATATCATTCCTAGGGTTGCTAAAATTGCTATAACTATACTATTAAGTGATGTACCCCAAAACATCCCAAAACCCTCTTCAAAGCCCCTACGAAACCCTAAACCCTGCAGTACAAGAGCCAAATTCACGAAAAGCTTCGAGGCGAAGCCATCGCGGAGTTGAGGTGCTTCTCAGAGCCCAGGGTGCCACCCGATAAGGACCTCATAGAAAGTGTGGAGCTTGTGGAAAAGCGTTCAGTTTAGACTTGTTTGCCGGGTTTGGGGCCTGATCCATTCGGAATGGGCAGTTGAGCTTCAAAAAATTGGGGGGCCTTAATAATTAGAACAGGGTTCTGGGCCCAGTATGCTTTCACTATAATAAGGACCCCCACCAACAAAGTCTTGGTAATTACTTAGGCCCCCATAGTAGAGTTTGAAATCTTGATCAGCCTCGAGGCTTCACGGTGTTAGGGTGTGAGGGCTTGGGGACTAAGAACTTTCCTGTTTTCTTCGGCGGCTCCCTCAAAGACTCGGGCCCCGGGGTTCCTTGGCAGTGATTAGGAATTAGGACCTCGAGGGTCTCATTGCATCATTGCATACCTTCTCGAGCTCCTTCAGCCCAGTAGGCAACCATTTACTAGGGGCTTAGCGATGTAGATATCTATATAAATCCCAACTGTTTCTCAAAACCCGGACTGCTGAGCCGAGGAGCGAGGCAGTAAACTCGGAGCCCACGGAATAGCGCATCGTGCTTCGCGCCCAGCTTGAATGCTTCCTCAGGTCTCGAGGGCTGCCCGCGGAACTACCTCATGTTGGAGTCCCTACATGCTTTCTTTGCGGTTTTAAAACTCACCCCAGGCCGCATGCTAATCGGTTGCAGAGGACCCCATATGGGCATCCTCAACTGTCAGTCCTGATAACCCAAGATGGAAGCCCAAAGAGGGTAGCATCTCGCTGAAGGACAAGGACCCTTTTTTTGCTACTGGGCTCAGGTCTAGCCACACTTGAGTCCAGTCCTTGTCCTTAGGTCCTAAACCCGACGCCAATGGATTTCACGGTCTTTTTTTTTGAGGGGGGGTCGGGGGATCCATGCTTAATTCTTGATGCTCTTGCCTTCATCAGGATTATGCGAGGCCGGAGACCTGCAAACCCAGAGCCCTACTTTGCCTACGCGGCTGAAGGGTGAAAGGAGATCTTCGGAGTGTACCAAGCTGTAGCATGATAATGTAGTAGTGCTACCTGGATTGGGAACCACAGTGCTATTGAGGCTTCTGGGCTTGGATCAAACTCAATAGCCAAATATCCCTAAGCCCAGTAATCGAGTTCAGGCTAAGGCTTGTGGTGAATTTTTGCGTGCTCAAAACTCAAGCCCCACATCCCAGAACCGGTTGGCAAAGCATCGTTCTTGCGCTCGGCGTGGTGTCCGGTGGCCTCTCCGGGAACCGCTCCTTCGAAATAGGTCAGGTTCTCACATACATGTGGTCCGCGAGCACGCACACTGGCTGGCTGGTGGCTGGCTTAAATCCGACGCAACTGTACTGGGGCCTTGAACAGCCAAGTTTGCCAGGCTGGGCATCTGTCGCCGAGTCGTGATAGTCGTGCCTGCCTTTGGCTCCACCCCCTGCTCAAAATGCAGGACCTTCAAGAACGTAAGGTGCTGCAATGACTGATGGTCTGTTGGCATCACCTCCCATAAAAACTTCCTCCGATATGCACGAAACAAAGCTGATGAGGGCGACGGCCGTGAACATGATCGGGGATGCAATGGTATCTCACACTCAGCGTACCGAATGTCGCCATGGAGTCGTGAGTGTGTCAGCTTGGAGTTTCGAGCCGTAGCCGTTTTGGTTGAACTGCTAGGGTTCAATGGACCCTAACCGTTAACCCTAAACACCGCACCCTCCCGTACCCGATATCCTTGTCGTCGGGCAGGACAGGCTCCTTCGTGACGTAAACAGCCTGGAAGCATCAGCTCTTCAGATGCTACACAGTATAGAAGCTGCTAAGGTGTGGGTGCCAACCCTGTTTCCACTGCTAGGTATGTTGTTGTTGGTGGTGGTGGTGGTGACGGCGGCGGCGGCGGCGGTGGTGGTGGTGGTGGTGGCGGTAACCAATAGGAATCGAAATAAGAATAATCACAGTAGTAGCAACAGTATTAGGAACAGCAGCAGCAGCAGCAGCAGCAGCAGCAGCAGCAGCAGCAGCAGTAGTAGTAGTAGTAGTAGTAGTAGTAGTAGTAGTAGTACTAGTAGTAGTAGTAGTAGTAAAAGTAGCAGTAGCAGTCGCAGTAGCAGCAGCAGCAGCAGTCGGAGTAGCAGTAGAAGTAGCAGTAGCAGTAGCAGTAGAAGTAGGAGTAGGAGTAGGAGTAGGAGTAGTAGTAGTAGTAGTCGTAGTAGTAGTCGTAGTAGTAGTCGTAGTAGTAGTAGTAGTAGTAGTAGTAGTCGTGGTAGTAGGAGTAGTAGTCGTGGTAGTGGTAGTGGTAGTGGTAGTGGTAGTGGTAGTAGTAGTAGTAGTAGTAGTAGTAGTAGTAGTAGTAGTAGTAGTAGTAGTAGTAGTAGTAGTAGTAGTAGTAGTAGTAGTAGTAGTAGTAGTAGTAGTAGTAGTAGTAGTAGTAGTAGTAGTAGTAGTAGTAGTAGTAGTAGTAGTAGTAGTAGTAGTAGTGTAGTCGTAGTAGTAGTAGTAGTAGTAGTAGTAGTAGTAGTAGTAGTAGTAGTCGTAGTAATAGTAGTAGTAGTAGTAGTAGTAGTAGTAGTAGTAGTAGTAGTAGTAGTAGTAGTAGGAGTAGTACTAGGAGGAGGAGGAGAGGAGCAAGAATAGTAGATGAGTTTCGTTAGCCGAGGAGGGAGGATCCGTACTCGGTCGCTGCTGAAGAAACCCTAGTCATTGGTGCCTTCAGGGTGTTCGCGTGGAGGCGAGGGCTCGGCTCATCGACGTTCTCCACTGCCGAATACTTTGCAAAGCGGCTTGGGTCTGCAATGGCGATCTTGTCCTGATTTGAAACCCGGGGTGAGCAAAGCCTAGCCCCGGATACGCCCAGAAGCTGCAATCCCGAATACGAATATGAGAACCGACGGGTTTGTACATCGTAGCACATAAGCGAGACTTTTACGTTCTGTCAAATGAATGACGGGCGTCTGCAACTGCTTCCATCAACTCCCCGAAAATTGATGAAACTGCGAAAGATGGGAGTTCAGACAAAAGTGGGCCCCATTACATCGACCGCAAAGAAGTGCTATTTTCTGAACGCCCCCAGATCAATTCACACCAAGTCTGCCACCCCCAAATGGACTCTGTGCACTGCGCGGTTCGTGAATACAGTATGTAAACACCCACGTTTACATACAGCCCCTAGTTCACATGGGCATATGGTGGTCGTTTGGCAGTCTGAGCTAAAATCTCCAGCAGCCTGCTGATGTAGGGGAGGGCTTGTATGGCGTGCCAGCTGCTAATTATATGGGAGTTTCCCGACGTACGGGAGGATCCTTATTACAAGGACCCCAAGACAAGGTACCCCTAATTTTCTGACACCCCCATGTGTCTAAGGCGGGCGTAGACCATCCCCTGACCTCAAGGGAGGCAGGCCCCAGCTCAAGTCTTGAACCTGTGGCAGCACAATCACTCTTTGAACCTGTAAGATCAAGCCTTATAATTGGAATAGGGTTCCTTTCACGGGGTCTACAAGAGCTACTATAAGGGATCTATGATAGGGTACTTTAATATATAGCGGCCGAAAAAATTACCAGAATTGGGTCTTATTCTACTCTAACTATAATTACCAAGGAACCCTAAGAATAATATTGGTAATTATTTAGGCCCCTATATTACCGGCGTAGGGTTCGCCGAGCTGCATGATCTTCAAGATCCAGGTCGGCGCCGTCCGCCTCACCTGGCGGTAAAAAAGGAAGGATCTCGTCTTCAGAATTGAAAAAACTTTCCCAACTACTCATGCTACCACCGGGGTTCTACGCCTGCGCTACCACTGGCACTGCTACTGCTGTTGCTGCTGCTGCTGCGACGACGACGACGAGGACGGTGACGGCGACGTGTCAAAAAGTTTGTTCGTTGATCGCGAAAGCGTATCCGTTATCATGTTCTTATCAGCATGCTTGAAATGTAGCCTGCATGTGCGAATAAACACGTCCCGAAGACGTATGTACTAGATTCTAATCATGAGTGCATAAAACCAAGACTTGCACCACCCACAAGTACCAGGAACTTCAAACCCAAAACACCCAACACACGAAATTGACAAGAAACCGCGGAGGATGGCCACGAGAACCTCTTTCTAGGGTCCCCTTCCGAGAAAACCCAGAACCTCGATCCCTAAACCATAACTACAAGACCCCAAACCCCTTAATCCGCAACAACATAAAACCACAAACCACTGAAACAAATTACCGTAAATCCCTAAAACCCTATAGACCCTTCAGCCCCATAAACCCCCTCAACCCCCATAGAACTCTCAAACCCCTGTTAAGCTGCTTGCCTGTGATTCCCGACTGCGAGTTCGACTGTGGATCTCTCTTCCTCGGGCTGCGAGGTCGGGCCTTTTTAACGGTTTTTGGCCCTGAGTTTTGGAGGTTTCTACAAGGCTGCAGGAATTTAGGGCTTATAGTGGTTTCTCAAAGTTTTGCAGCTTGGGGTGTTGTTCTTTTTGCGTGAGGCCGGTAATTCCTACAACATCAAGGAAATGTGATCCCTCACCGAACTACACAGTTTGCAGGACGAGCCCTTCCCTTCACTGCGGCACGCAAAGGTCCGTGTGCGAGCCAACAGAGGGATATGCTCTGCTGTATATGGCATATGGTTCGGCTAGCTACATTGTGTCTTTCTCTCTGTAACCGACGACGCCACTGCGTCAAGCCAAAACCAAACCCCTTCGGACACGTTGAGTTTCTTGTTCTCGATACGCACTTAGCTCGTTTGCACGATTGGCCGTCCAGATGGGCTCGCTCTGCCTAACGCGCCAGCGCAAAGCTGGCGGATCTGGCATCGCACGCTGTCTGGGTCCGGCGAAAAAAGGCAATCCAGGTTTCTGGGTCACCTTCTGAACTTAGTCCACCCACTTCGTGAGGTACGTGCTGGCCTTCAAGGCAGCATCCACCTGAGCCGTGGTCATGGTCTTGTACTTGGCCAAATCCTTAGGGTTCTCCCATTCGAAAAACTTGATGCCATCCTTGGTGACGGGCTCGCGGCCAAAGTGGCAGTAGGCAGCTGTCTCCTGGTACTTCGGCTCACGCAAGGCCAAGGACTGAGCAATGGCCCCCGGACGGCAGTCGAACTCAGTCTTCAGCACCTTCGTGATGTCGTCCACGGTCAGGCTGCCCTTCTCGCTGCCGTAAGTCTCCACAAACAGGGACAGGGGCTTGGCCACGCCGATGGCATACGACAGCTGCACCAGGCAGCGTGCGCTCAAGCCGCTGTTGACCACGGACTTGGCCATCTGACGGCAGATATAGGCAGCGGAGCGGTCCACCTTGGTGGGGTCCTTGCCAGAGAAGGCGCCACCACCGTGGGCTCCCCAGCCTCCGTAGGTGTCAATGATGATCTTCCGGCCGGTGAGGCCTGCGTCGCCCTGAGGACCACCGATGATGAACTTGCCGGAGGGGTTGATGTGCAGGTGTGTGTGGCTGCCATAGAGGCTGATGGCAGGCTGGCCGTTCTTCAGCTTGATCTGCTGAAGAGTTCGCTTGATGACCTTCTCCTCGATCTCCTTATTCATCTGCTCCATGCTCGGTGCAACCATCTCGGCACCGGTGTAGCCAGCACACTCCTGAGTTCGCTTGGCCTTGGATGGCTCCGCATGCTGCGTAGAGATCACCACCGTGTGGATCTTCTTCGGCTCAACAGACCCATCCGGGTGCTGCATATACTCGATCGTCACCTGCGTCTTGCCGTCAGGTCGGAGCCACCAGCACTCACCGCTCTTGCGCACTTCTGTCAGGGTCTTGCCGAGCCGGGTGGCCATGCTGTGCGTCAGAGGCATGCAATCCGAAGTCTCGTCGCTGGCATACCCGAACATGATGCCTTGGTCTCCGGCACCCACGTCCATCTCGTCCTTGCCAACGTGCACTCCACCGGCAATGTCCGGGCTCTGCTTGTTGATGCGCACCAAGACCTCGCAGGTCTTGTGGCTCAAGCCCTTGCTGTCCACGCTGGAGAGATCATCGACGAAGCTGTCGAAGCCGATCTGAGCCACCACTCCACGCACGACCTTGTCGTAGTCGAGCTTGGCTGCAGTGGTAATCCTTGGTTTCCCACTCTCCCCTGTTTTCCCACCCGCCCAGCTGACAGAGTCGCACCGCACCGCACCACTGCCCCCTCAACAATAAGGGTACAGTATACTTTTTTCTGGTATTCAATCTTAAGAAGGGAACCCCGAAACAAACAGGGCGAAAGGGTACTACTGGGGAACTTAGAATCTCACCAGCCACCATGACCATGTTGTCCTTGGTGGCCGTCTCACAGGCCACCTTGCTCTTGGGGTCCACCTTCAGGCAGGCATCGAGGACGGCATCCGAGACCTGGTCGCAAATCTTGTCCGGGTGGCCTTCGTTCACCGACTCGGAAGAGAAAAGGAAGGTGCGCGCAGTGCGCGCCTTCTTCTGTGCTGGCTCCGCCATGGCGTCGCGGCAAGTGGACTAAGGCACACAAAACTGGCAAAAGCTTGAGCAATGGCCGATTGCACTCTCACAACTCGGACTCGCCAGGCGCGAACCCAAAACGGCACCCGGGCTGGGAAACTGCTAGAGAAAGTCTCTAGGAACACCATTGAACGCCAGTGACTACAATGCATTTCAACACATGCGGTAACTCCTACAGACGCTGGTCTAGCACACAATCTGCAAGATTCTTCTTACGAAAGCAGAATACATGGCCTACATTACAAATGTATTCAAAATGTGGCCTCAACATCCTGCCGTCCAGTGTCTGCGCGCAGCGGCAGGACCAGTAGTCGGAAGCGACAGCGAGGGGACCATTTGCGGCCTCGGGGGTCCAGCACGACGGCGAAAGACAAATCCACTTAGCTCTCAGCACAGAAGTTGGTGATTCTATGAACGCTAACTATAGTAATGAGTACTGACTCTTATCGTTGTGGTGTCGCCGTTGCCGCGCCATCATCGTAGCCACAGCGCAGATTTCTCAACAATTGAAGATGGCGTCCATGCCTTCCGCCCTTGAGATGGCCTACTGAGACTGGACAAACTTTTGAAGTCTACGGAACATTTGAGAACGACTTTGTGCAGGATGGCTTCGGGACAGTAGAAGGTTTCGGGCTTTGCGCCTGCATAGAATTTACTCTCTTGCAATGCAGAGACAGATGAAGCACGGGAGCAATACCCGACATGCAACCAAGCTCCAGGCATTACCCATGTGACCTCCTCAGGCGTTGGGTGGTCTCGACATGTGCCGAGGTGGGTCGGCCCCGGTCTCCGGGGTGCAGGTTGCCAGCTGCGTGGAAAGAACAGCTCGGATTGGGATTGGGCTTAGGGCTTGGGTCTCTGGGGGTTGATAGCCTTAATGCTGAATGCTCTTTGCCCGACTTACTAACCACAGTACTGAAGCCTTGATGAAGTATTGAAAAACCTACATATCTACTCACTTACATATAGACTTACGCACGTCATCATTCACAGTCCCTGTTCGGCACGTATAGCTTCTTGGTCTAGCACCCAGGATGGCAACGCAGTGTCTAGAAGCCGGAAGCACCGACTGCCTCTCTTCGAGAGGTTTCCAGTGTCTTCCGTGAAACGCTACTTGACGCTCAGTAGCTGCGGAACGGACAAAGCTATTCGGCAGCTTGGCTGTGCGATGGTATGCATTCCCAGGTCTCGAAGCCCTCTGGTACTTAGCTGTATTTCTACTTTGCTTCGGTTCCATAGCATGACTTGAACACCCAGAGCTGCGCTGGGTCACATTGTAGCATTGACGTAAGGTGCTCCAAACCCGGAACCCCAGCGGGTGTGTCAGCTCTGCGCGACTGAAAATCCTTTGAGTGACTGGAGTGAACAAGTCACTAGATAAAGGTGTATCGTACTGAAAGCACCACCAAAATCTATGAACTCTACACCAAGGCCTTTCCAGGAAGCAATA